GTTATGCTGCCATCCCACGTATCCAGGTTCTAACCCCTGGAGTAAGAAGGGCTCATGAAATTCCTTGGGAGCTTTTGCGAGTCAATAAGCCAAAGGCCTCAATTTTCCATAAATCTATATCCATGGAGAACTTGAAAGCAATTCAATGACCGGTCTTTTCTATCTCGATCATCTGCTGAAGTCATCTTGAGTGGAGCTGTGGTTGCAAACTTCGTGGTATGTTGAAGATATAAGAAGTACAATGACCAGTGTCCTTGTAGTGTTTCGTGATAATGGCCAACAGAAGTTAATGTGTACTTAAATTCTCTCGCCTTCCTGCTCGAACCATCCATCTCCACTTATGTAGCTGTCCGATTGAGGCCTTCTAGACAAAGCAACTTCGCGGTTGAAGTGGCATCTTGCGGCTCAGATCTAGGGTTTCAGCTTTAGTAATTCATATTACTTGAAGGTTCTATTGTTGACCGTTAGGATATTATATCATACTCATAGTTCACCTCGTAAAGCCCACCTCGTTCAATGCTCAAATGCTCAGATTTGGCTCAGGTGCCATCGTTTTACGACATCCTCCAAGCCATGACATGGCTTCCGAGTACCGGGTTATTAGATCTGACATCAAATGATAATCGACCGTGTAATAACTAGCGTTCATGCATGTTGACGGAAAGAGATAGAGTTTTACGATTGCAATATGCAAGGGCGAAAAGGTTCCCAAGCCACTCAGTGTGAATGGTGTCAGCGAGATAACCCACACCGCGGGATGGTTGCGTTAAGCCAATAAAACATTTCTATTGCATGTTCTATACGGATCAACTCAATACCTAGACGCCCTACTAGATTGTGAAGTTGGCGTCTCAATTTAAGAGATACACGATACCTCCCAGAGGTGCAGGGTAAGTCTAATCCCTGGATGGATGATTTGCTCGCACCCCTATCATCGCGCCCTCACATACAAGCAGGGGTCGACTCATCCATGAGTACAAACGATGGATTGGCGCGTTTATCTTCAGTCATCATAACATACTCGATAGTAGCATTGGCCAGATGACCACTCTGGTCCGCTTTTTCAAAACATGACGTGTTATTCTTCACATCTTATACCTGGTTCGTCTTACTAGCATGAGGTGATACTAGATCGATGCACTTGAATTTACAAACTTGCTTCTGCTGGCGACTCCGTGTCTAAGTGGCACAAAGGCTGTTACGACGCAGATAACCAACGCTCTCTTGGACAGGTTACAAACGATGACAACAATGTAGATGCCGCAAACCATATGACGCAATGTACCAAGCCATCCTAACACCAGCCCTCTAATTTGCTGCAAGAAAACCCTCGAGTCTACTTCGTACGCTCGTCAAATATCACCACCACGCATATAGTGGTAGTGGAACAGAACGCCAGCCGTGAACCTGACAAGTCATCGCCGCCGATGACCTTAAATTTAGTATGCCATTCGCTCCATTTTCTATGACCAAACATCCTCCTGCAATTCTTAGTCAGCAAATGCGTTTTCGGTGCAGTAGAAAGGGAGTAACGTCACTACATACCTGGTATTGGTTCGCCGACCTCATGTTCTTCACGATCTCCTCGCCCTTTGCCTCAGACACCCCCCGTCCCTCGGCAATGATCTGTGCCAGGACAGTATTGACCTCACGGGCCATGTGGGCTGCATCACCGCAGACGTAGAAATAAGCCTTCTGGGAGAGCAGGTCGCTGACCTCCTTGGATCGCTCCTTAAGTCGGTGCTGGACGTAAACTTTCTTGGACCTCTCTCGAGAAAAGGCGGTGATCATCTCAAACTTATCGCCAAGAGCCTCCTTGTATTCCTGAGAAACAGTCAGTACAAACCCCGAACGATAGAGTTTCATATTGTCTTACCTGCCACTCCTTTTGGTACATGAAGTCCTCGGTTGACTTTCGGCAACCAAAGAACAAGAGTGTCTTTCCAACGTCAACACCATCACGGGCTTGCTTGGCACGCTCCTGAACGAAACCGCGGAAGGGAGCGACACCAGTACCAGGGCCAATCATGATGATAGGCTTGCCGGGGTCCGAGGGGAGCTTGAAGTTGGAGTGACGAACATGGACAGGAACGTGGATGCCATCATACTTGTTGCGGGGGCCTGTAAGCTCGTAGCTCTGACCGAAAGGTGCAGGGTTGGGGTCGCCGTTCTGCTTTTGCTTGAGGGCAAAGAGATAGTTTGTAGCAACACCACGGAAAGGATCCTCTCTGCCAGGAATCTGCTGAGACTCAACGACGGCAGTGATGGAGATTTTCTTGGGCTGAACGAGAGACGAGGAGGAAATAGAGTAGTAACGGGGCTGAAGCTTGGTAAGACCCTCAATGAAGGCAGAGAAGGGGATCTTGGTCCACTTCTCACCCTTACTGACGCTGGCGAGGAAACGGGCAATATTGTAGTAGTGCGGGCCAGTCTTCTCGTGGAAATAATCCTTATCGCTACCAAGGCGGTTCATCTCAGCCTTGACATCGTCGTTGGGAGCGAAAGCGGCGAGAGTAGAGACGAATTGACGGGAAACAGGAGCGCAGATCTCGAGGTGGTATCGCAGAATGGCATCGTAGGTTGTGGGGTTGGGGAAAGGAACCTTGGCTGTAGGCTCGAGAGCCTTGACAGTGACAACGCTGTGCTGCTTGCCTGAGAGGTCGAGAATATCCAGGAATTTGTTAACCTCTTCACCAGGGTTGGTAGGCCAGATAGCAATATGGTCTCCAGTCTCGTACTTGAGGTTAGAACCGCTGATGTCAATTTCCATGTGGAGGCAGTTTCTGTCCTTGGCAGAGAACAACTCGTAAGATTCGGCGATAGGGGCGATGTAGGGGTTGTGAGAGTTAAAGGGTCCCTTGGCGGTGCCTTCGAGGTGCAGCTTGTTGGGCTCACCGAGATACACTTCATTGGCTTCAGGAGTCAGGTCGTCGCGCTCGTTAATGGCAAAGATAGGCTCGTAGACAGCTTCACGCTCTTCCAATCCCATCTTCTTAGCAAGGGCTTCCCACATGGGATCCTTCCAGGCCAAGAAATCCTCTTCCATAGTACCAGCGCCATCATCACCCTCACCAGCTTCGCCGATGCGGTGAGCGCCAAGCTTCTCAAGAGCCTTGTTAACATTGCGGACCATAGAGTTGTAATGCTCGTACGTGTTGTTTCCGAGACCGAAAGCGACGTAGTTGAGGTTGCCCAGAGGAGGATCGTTGCCCTCATTGAAGCTGGCGTCCTCACCGGTGATGAATTCGTAGAAGTCGACCGCGTTATCAGTAGGCTCGCCTTCACCGTAAGTTGCAAGAACGAACATGACGATGTTGTCACTAGGGACAGTATCCAGGTTATCGAAATCGTAGTCCTCAAGATCGGCAATCATGGTATTGAGTCCGAATCGACTCTTACCCTCCTTGGCGAGACGAGAAGCATAATCTTCAGCAGTACCGGTCTGGGAACCATAGAAGACAACGCAGTTCTTGCCGGATTCTTCCATCGCCTCAACGATGTTCCTCGTGCGACCCGGCTTAGAAGCGCCGCCGGCAGCGAAGCCATTGGCATAGGGGTCTTTGGTAACACCCCATAGCTTGCCCTTTGTAAAGTATGCGACCGTTCCGAGGAAGATAACGCCGAGGACGATAATGTCCAGAGTGTCGAGTTCAGCCATGATGGCTACGAAAGCGCTGGGGCGGATCCGTGGTCAAGAGGTAGAGAGAGCCAGCAACACAACGATGCCAGTGACGAAATCAGAATCTGCCCAATTTCAACAAAGTTTCGTGGTTTTGTCCCAATAGTCGTCGGCCGGAAAGGAGGCGGGGGAGGAGGAGGGAAAGTGGGATGTGGCGTGGAGTGTCTAAAAAGAAAGGATGCGCTGTCAGTAATAAATTCGCGCTAAAAGTAGGAGATTAATGGATGACCCGAGGATCCTTTATCGTGCGAGGTGAGTTTCCTGGACCACACTTACACTTGAAGGATCAGCACTAATCATGAACTTTGACCACGTAAACCCATCGACTCAGCAGGCAAAACTTCAACTCCTGTGGGAAATGATAAGTCGTAGCTATTACGGGAATATCTATCCGAAGCAAGGTGAAACGAAACCTCCTCAACGGGGTAAAAAGGTGGCAGCTACCCAGACTGGCTGCGGAATGCCACAGTAGTCTTTATCTTGCTCGGTTGTTGGCTCGGATTGAACCTTTAAAGCCGGGGTTCTTCTCGTTGTTGGGGCTCAAATGCAGGATTGCAGGGATTCAGGCCAGAGATGCTTTGGAGACGTTGAAAGTGTTCAATTCACTTTTGAGTTTATGTTTCTTTGTCGCGAAAAGAAAGAGGACAGTGGAATGGATTACTTATACCGCAAAGACATCTCAAAAGCCAGAAAGAAACAGAATAATGAAGAAAACGGGAAACTCGGAACTTGATATGTGTTTTCTACTAGGTATGATACCTAATAAGGTACCTTTCCTTGGAGCGACCTCCCCGCCAGCACCCGGAAGATCAAACGGTAAGTAACGGCGGTCGAATCATGAGATATTGCGGTCGGCGCCGGCGGGGTTCCGAAAACGAACACGCTCAATAAGGTATGAAGCCGCCATTTGCACGGAATTCAGCATTTCCCGTAATCGACTCCCGGTCGACTCAACTGGCCTCGGCATATCGAGCAATAGCATTCATTCATTCTCTTGCCTCCATCCCCGCGTTTTTGTCCCGCGTGCCCATCTATTGTCGACTATCTTCGCTAGTTCTGCTCCTCATGTTTATGTAGCCGGAACATTTACCCCAAGATCTTCGAATCACCTTGCTACATTGGATGCTAGTTCCGCCCTGAAATCTTCTGCGGAAACTATCCCGATGTTTCGATCCGCGGCTCCTTTGAAGTGCCGAGCGCACATGCCTCGACCCCCTCAAATTGTTGGTCGATTCGACTACATAGAAAATTCGTGCAGTCCAGAGACAAACCGCTGAACACAAGATCGATTGCCGTTCATGGCCCAGTGTGGCTGCTGTCAGCAGGCCAGTTGATCAGAACAATAGAAAGCATTGGCCTTCTTTATAAGTTCTACGATGTGGCACTTACCTCAGTTTCTTTGACATTACCGCCAAGATACTTCAGGGTACTATTGTCAATTTCTTTGCTCAAAGCCGATCATACATTGGAATGCGGGACATCAACAGCCATGACACAAGAATGTCTCACATGAATACCTATGAATCCTCTATCTAGGTACTATGTAAACAAACACTCGTGGTTTGACCATGTCTACCGAGCAGGTTGCATTACTTAACATATGCTTTTAGTCACCATCATCATGAATTGTGATGGCTTTGAGTCCCAGCTACTTTCGAGTGGTGCCTCAATGCGTCCAATCTTTAACCCTTCATGCTCTGCTAGCGAGCTGGCAGGATGGAGCAGAGATATCACATATGATATATAGATCCCTGACTCGTGAAATCCTCGCTTATACCATCCCTTCGCATAATGAAGATGTGCGTGATGTTCATAGCGAGATACTGAACGACATGGAGATGCCCAGGTCCATCATGCTAACTCAAGGATTATCTTTTAAGCAATTCCATAATGGTACAATGATCAGCGGAGGAAACAAATGCTACGCTGATGAGCATCTGGGTCCTTTGATCCTTGCTAACAAGTGCAGGCGCGCTCTCGTTTATGTTCTGATAATCCACCAGCTTTGGCATGGCGGATACCCAGACCTCGAACCTCACCGAGTCATTCTCGTGAATTGATGTCTCACAGATAAGATCTCGAACCCTTGAGCCATGAGGATCACCGAGGCCCCCTTTTCAAGAAGCCAATTGACAGGCAAGAAGTGGCGCGCCGTCTCTACCAAGGGCCCGTCATTCCATGTCGGTTGATCTTAGTTCCGTTGATAGGCCATGGCCCTTGCAGATGGCAAGGATATGGTCAAAAAACACTGCGAATCGACTGCCATGTGTGCCATGTGTTAGAGCTCCCTGGGTTCGCTTGGCTCCATAACAGCCTCTTTAAAGGCTTGTCGGACAAGCCATTCAGCGGGCCGGGCCAATACATGGGCAAGTTGACGGTAGCGTCATTGCGCGTGGCCCAGCCGTCAAAGTCAGTCGGTCTCTTGGGGTCTTTGTCTTTGTTGTCAAAAGACTCCCTCGTATACTGCACATGCATAGCTGCATCCCTTTAGACCCGTAAATATCCTTCGCCTTTCTCGTTTTCTTCTCGTTTTCTTTTGCTCAGTTGCGATACTGACATTGAGACTAGAGAATCACCATAGATCATGGGATTGCGATATAGAACTTGAGGATGGGTAAGTCAAAATCCTTAGAAGGGGTGTCCACACTCCAATACTTTCAGTACCTGACACCAACCCCTCTCTTCCCGCACCACCTCTAAAATCTGGGCTGTATCGCGGGAATACCTTCGTCACCAGTCACCCCAAGACAACCTAGACAATTCAGCCTGGGCTACTGTATTTATAACTGTAATCCAAGCAGAGTTGGCAGTGCTTACATGCAGACCCTGCTCTAGGCGTCTCTGCTACCGTTTCACCAGCATCTTCAAACATTCAGCAAAGATATATCTTTTGTTGACTAACCCCTTGTGTGACCCATAGTGCCGTCGCAGCCGCTGCCGGACCACCTGCAGGATACGCTCAGGTTCTCTCCCCGGCCTGTTCCTAGACTCGAAGAGGAGGAGGAAGAAGATGATGAGAAGAATTGGGATAGAACATTACGCCCAGTAGCTTCAGAATCGCCGGTCGCCCATCGATTTGCGCACTCACGAGACTCGTCCGCCGAAAAGATCCCCCAGACGCACCCGCCCTTGGCCTCCCCACGACTTCACTCGAGGAGCCCCCTTGGCGGCGTCGTAGAACGCATTATCGACCCGAAGAGCGCCGCATACGGCCATCATCGTCAAACTTCGATTGTCCACGGCATTCAACACTCGAGAAATGGCAGCTTGGCCAGTACCAGCTCCAGTCCCCTCAGCCCGCAGATGATCGCAGCCGCTGGTGTCGGCTTTGATCGTCCAGACATGCAATCGGTGACCACCCGTATCGATGGCGACGCCAGTTATCCTTCTCGGCCACCTACATCTCTCTCCGGAAATGTTGCACCTATGGACCGTCCCAATGCTACTGATGCTCCATACGGCATGACCCAACGAAAGCTCGAACGAATGCATAGTAAAGCTCGGCGCGATCACACCCCCCATCACTCTCACTCTTCTCGTCATAAGGATGAGCAAAAGACCGTTGGCGAATATGCGCTTCATGTCTTGTTCACCTCAGTCAGTCCAAGCTTTAGTGTTATAAACGCACACCACAACTAACTTGATGTAGTTTATTGCACAAGCGGAAGAGAAGTTAACAGAATGCGTCACGGTCCCTTTTGATCCCGAACCCAATGCTGAACAAATTTGCGGACCAGGTGTCGACCCAGCGTTCGATCAGTTGATTGTCGCTCTGGGTCATATCGCTAGCCCTAAACCGAAAGCCTTAATAGACTCGATGATGCTCTGGAGGAAAAGTAAAAGTGATGCCGCCAACGAAGCTCGCAGCCATCTTCAGCAATCTCGGAATGCCGCGGCGGGGCCACCTCTTGTTCGAAGAAATACAGAACCAGTACAAGCTGCGATGCCCGGTCAAGGAGGTCCTGATGCTGTTTTCCCAAATGGTCCGCCAACGCTCGCAGCAAGGCAGGAGTTTGTAGCACAAGCTGAACGCCGGTCGACCGTATCTATATACATTCTTTGCCGTGTTCTCCTCGAAGTCATCAGCCAGAGCAACTTGCCGTCTATCACCGCCGAAATGGAGGATAAGCTGGAAAGCATCATCTTTGGACAGCTAAAAATCGCCGATACTGAGCAATTGATGATGTCGCCTCTGAAACTTGCCAATTGGAACCTTTTTGCTCAATTGCTGGGACACATGAGTGGCATTAACTTTGGTGGAGTTACCAGGAGGTTCATTGAAGACTTGGACAGTTCTCTCCAAGAACGCGTGGTCAAAAGTCCTACCTCCTCTTCTGGTCGAGACGCTGAGGGAAAGGTAGAACTTGTCTTGGGCGGCATGAAGCACCTAAAGCTCAAGATCTCACCCGAAGAGTCATGGGAGCAATCTTGCGATTTTCTCATCTCACTTGGTCGTCTATTCCAGAAATCCCACGGTCAAAAAGTCAAGACAGCCTTCTGCCAAGTGATAGAGATGCTTCTTCTTCCAATCGCCGCAAAGGCAAGCAATAGTCATTTCATGCATCCAAAATGGGCGGAAGTACTTGCTGCTGTCGGACCTCGCCTTGCCCAAATGTTTATGAAGCCGAGGCATTGGAATTTCGCATTCCCTCTTACTGCGACTTTGCTCTGTGTTTCCTCTCCAGACAACTTTGGATCGCAATGGCTGCAGTTGATATTGCCTTTACAAACCAAAGTCAAGGATCGAATGACTAAGCCCCTTTGTCTTCAGGTCATCTCTCGCTTGTTATGGACATTCCTATATCGAACTAATGAAACCTTTCAAAATAGCCTCCGCAAAATTGACGAGGTCATGAAACTTGTTTTGCCATCATCCAAGCGAAGTTTGGTTGCATCGGATACTCCGTGCACTGAACCTCTGATCCAGATCATTCGAATTGTTGGCTTCAAGTATCCTGAATACTGCTTTAGGAATGTTGTGTTTCCTCTCATCAATGCTGAACTTTTCACTTCCAACAAAGAATTGAAAGTTGAGCAACTGGATCCTGACCGAGTTGTCGTTGGCATCAGGGCTTTCCTATACATAATGTCAGACTTGGAGAAGGGCGAACAAGGACGACCTCCGTTCCCGCAATTCTTTGAAAACTCGAATTCGAGTTCGACTCCTGATCGATTTCCTGTCTCCCCTGCTATGTCTTCTGCCCGCAACTCTCCGTTATCACAACCAAATGCGGCTTCGAAGGAGGAGTACATCACGCGTCCGGTCTTAACTCACGTTTTGAGTGACGGGGTCCGAGACTTCTATCTCAAATTTTGTGAAATACTTGGGAAAATCACAATTATTTGTGATAATACCTTCGGTGGACAAGCGGCCTTGGATGAGAAGTTCAACAGCCCTTTGCCAAAAACCCCTATAACTGAAACCTTTACCTTCTCTCGCAAAGACGACCATCAGAGTGCGGCAGATCAAAAACAAGCGTTTTATGAACTCCTACATGTTGCTGTTCAGGCGTTACCTCGTTGTCTTTCTGTCGACATCCCCTTCAACTCTCTGATCAATTTGCTGTGTACCGGAACAGCCCATGTGCAGTATAATATTGCGGAGTCATCTGCCAATTCTTTGAAAGCCATTGCAAGACAATCACATGCTCAACAAGTTACTATGGGATTCGCTCGTTTCATCTTTAATTTCGATGATCGATACTCGACAATGTCTGATGGCGGTATGCTTGGCCATAGTCATATCGAGAACACCCTACGCTTATACGTTGAACTCTTACAAATATGGATCGAGGAAATTAGACAAAAGACCCGTGATGCTGCTACAGACCAACCTGAAGCTAATGCCTCTGACAAGAGAGCAATCAAGCTTGATCTTTCCAGCATTTGGGCAGAGGTTGACCAGGCCGAGGCCCATGGTCTGTTCTTTCTCTGTTCGCAATCACGACGAGTTCGTCACTTTGCAGTGACAGTTCTTCGCCTGATCGTTGAATTTGACAAGGCCCTTGGAAAAGAAGCTTCCGAGGATAAGGACTCCATGAGGCTGATTGATATTCTTGAAAACGAGTCTAGTAAGGTCATGGACTTCAACGATGAGCAGCTATCCGTTGCCGAACGAAGCCGACTACAACGGGGCCTACAAAACACCAACAACCAAGGTGCCCTTGTCGAGCTCTGTGCCAGTGATGTCTCTTATGATACGACTTTATGGTTTAAAATCTTCCCTAAACTCATTCGAATGGCTTACGAGAAATGCCCATTTACAGTCACTATTTGTCGCGATCTCATTTGCAATCGTATTTTGCAGATGTACAAGCCAATCGTGTACCTCTCCGAGCCTTCAAGGGGCTTGTACTACAACAATGAACCAGGAAGTGCTAGGCTAGGAGCCCGATCTGCGACGACTCATCCTGAGGTGATGGTGGAGCAATGGAAGCTGTATCTAATATTCGCTTGCACAACACTAGCAGACCCAGGTGCTTTGCCAACGGCTCAGGATCCTCAGCACGTCCGGAAGGCTTCCAAAGCGTCGTCCAAAGATAAGATTGTGACAGCTCGGATGTTGTTCAAGTACCTCATTCCCATGCTGTCTGTCTCGTCCGCATCCGTTCGGGATGCTGTTGTTGTTGCTATGGGCTCCATCAACATTCATATTTATCGGACTCTGCTTGAGGAACTGCAAGGCCAAGTCTCTCGATGCAACGATGAGGCGCGGGCTCGGATACATCAGAGGACAAATAGCAATCCTAGGAGGAACCGAAAGATGGATCTTCTCAGAACGGAGATCACCCATGTGTTCAAGTTGACTTCCCATTTCCTCAGAGAACCCGAAGTTTACAACGGCGAGTTTTTCTTAACTACCCTTACCACATACACAAAGGATCTGAAGTTATTCCTGATGGACGGAGAGGTCCAGATGGATTGGGAATTCCAGAAGCTCCGACGCCATTACTGTGGACTTATGGAAGCACTATTTGAAGGAATCAACAGAACCAAGGATCCGTCCCGATGGATGACTTTTGAATCTCGAAAATCGGCGTTCTCACTGATGGAGGACTGGTGCGGATTCTCACCAAATCAGAACCAGATTCGCGCTCGAGAGGACACCATGCGACAATCGCTAATCGACCAACAGACATTGGGCGAGCGAGGCACTGCTACCGCTGCGATGGAGATAGAGAAGAGAAACCTCCGGACTGCAGCCCTCAGTGCAATGGCTGCTCTTTGCGGTGGACCGATTAGTGTTACAACTGAGAGTAACGTGGTCCTTCAGTTTGATGTTCGGCGCATGCTTGCTTGGATCGACTCCATTTTCAACTCAGGAAGTGATAAGATGAACGTCATTGGCAGAAGAGCACTCCAGAACCTAATTGTCCATAATCAGGAGGTTCCTTACTTGATGGAGCACTGCATTGCACGTTGCTATTTGGCTGAGGCACCCAAAGTCCTCGAAAGCTACTTCGTCGTAGTCACGCAAGTTCTGCAGGACCACATTGACTATCCTTGTCCGTTCTGGAAGCTCCTTGGTCTGTGTCTTTTCACATTGGGCAATGATCAAAGCGAGATCCGGTCCAAGTCTTCGACTGTCCTTCGGAGCTTGGAGGCACGCCAACAGAGAAACTCCAAGATCCAAGACTTTGACATCAGCATCTCAGACAAAACGCAGGCTGTATACAAACTAGCACAATTCGAGATCTCCAAACGCCTTGCCAAACAACACACAGAACTAGCATTTCATATCTTCTCCGAGTTCACCCTCTACTTCAAGGATCTACAACCTGCAGCTCAACGAAATGTCGTTGCAGTGATGTTGCCCTGGATCCAGTCTATCGAGTTGAAGTTGGACCCCAGTGGTGGACCTGCAGCACAGTCCTTTGTATTGCTTGCAAACCTGCTCGAGATCACTATCAAATCCAGCGGTGCATTGCATAATGAGGTTCAAGCTCTCTGGCAGGCTCTTGCAACTGGGCCTTACCCAGGAAACGTTCGCTTGGTTCTCGAATTCATCATGCAGCTGTGTCTTGAGCGTCGAGAGCAGAATTTCGTGGAGTATGCTAAGCAAATTGTCGTTTTTCTCTCAACAACCAATAGCACGCCGGGCATCAAGGTCGTTGAATTCCTTCTTATGCAGATAACCCCAAAGGCCATGGTACCGAACGAGAAACGAGATGCTGTTGAGCCCCCAGCTGATATCAATCTTCTGCCATACTGTGCAAACTTAGCGGAGGCTCTTCCAGTTGGAACCAAACAAGCTGGATTTTCTCTTGGTCAACTGTCGTTGATCCTACTTGTGGATTTAATGGTATCTCCAGTTCACCTCACCCACGAGAACGTCCCGCTTCTCCTTCAGGTCGTCACTGTTCTGTGGGATCACTACACTCCGCTGGTCCAGGAGCAGGCACGGGAGATGCTCGTGCATCTTATTCACGAAGTGGTAATTTCGCAAATAGACGACCAGACCCAGGATGTTGACAAGAAGGCCATCGAGGATCTGATTGATATGATCCGCCGGCACGATCGCTCTGTGGTCTGGGGGTATGAGGACAGCAACGGCAAGGTTGACGATCACGATAGCAAAGTACCGCCAAGCATGGAGTTCCTTACAGCAGAGGTCATCAAGACCTTTGAGATGACCTTCCCTGGAATCAAAGAGCATTGGGGACGCCTTTCGCTAACTTGGGCGACGTCCTGCCCAGTTCGACATCTTGCTTGCCGGTCGTTTCAAATCTTCAGATGCGTTCTCACATCAGTGGACCAGCCAATGCTTGGAGACATGCTTGCCCGATTGTCCAATACTATTGCTGATGAGGACCCGGAAATCCAATCATTCTCGATGGAAATCTTGACGACTTTGAAGACCATCATTGTCAAGCTTGATGCTGAAGATCTTCTTAACTTCCCACAACTGTTTTGGACAACCTGTGCTTGCTTAGAGTCTATCAACGAGCGGGAGTTCTTGGAAGCAGTTGAAATGCTCAACAAATTCCTTACAAAATTGGACTTGAGCTCGCCGAATGTGCGACGAATACTTGCCGATGGCCAACCGTCTCGCTGGGAGGGGATATTTGAAGGTGTCCAGCCTCTGCTTCATAAGGGTCTGCGGTCGTCCCTTTGTTGGCAACCAACTCTCAACACAATAGACAAGTTAGTACCTCTACCAAGCGATGGCCTAGTTGGCGATGAGTCCCGTCTATTCTTCTCGTTACTCGCCAACTTCCCTCGTTTTTTGAATGAACTTGAGAAGCCCTCCTCGGACGAGAGCGTCATACAGACGGCAAGACTCCTCCAAGAAGAAGCCGATAACCAAGGCTTGGCTGGCATTGCTGAGGCTTTGGACGATTTTGCGTTGGGGAACCCACAGGACAGCAGCAAGGACTTCATTGTTGAACTATGGGGAGCTTTACGAGAATACTACCTCCCGCAAATGGACTTCCAGATGGTGACTTTCCTGACCGGACTTCTCACAAACTCCTTGTCGTGGGTCAAGATTCAGACCATGAGGATCCTTTGTGTTGCAATTCCCGAAGTGGACATGCGCAAGCCTGAATTAGCTGGTCATGGATCCGATCTGATCTCTCCACTTCTTCGGCTCCTACAGACAGAGTTCTGTATGGAGGCTCTTGAGGTGCTGGACAATATTATGACCATGTCTGGAAATCATATGGACAAGCACCATTTGAGGATGAGTATGACGCGGCCAACCTCGAGGGCAATTCGCAAGGAATATGAGCGTACGCAGAGTCTGTTTGGAATACCCGAGGCATCAGGATGGGCCATTCCTATGCCTGCGAAGAAGACAGACGCTACGCGAGCCAATATTCATGCCGCTTTCTATACTTGTCAGGGCTCTGAAGGGATGTTGACTGAAACTTCACCCACCCCCGATGTTGAGTTTCATGCCGATGACTTCCCATACAACTACTTCGGCGCACCAGAACGAACCGAAACGATGTTGTCTGATGAAGGTCGTGGAGACGTTCAAGGAGATCTTGCAACCAAGCTGGACAGCCTTGACGACTTCTTCGAAGAGCCATCGAGTCCCACAACAGATGACGATGGTAGATCTTCCAGAACAATTACTGAATATACTCCAGAGTCCTTCGAGACTGGGGCAGAACTCTACGATGAGCAGATTCTGCCCATTCTTCACGAAGCCTCGAACAATACCTCCTTCCAGAACGGATTCTCCGATCGATCTCCTGGATTGTCGAGGGAAGCAAGCTCGAATACCATGAATCCAGGCGCTTTCAGTGTGGTAATTCCTACCGTTAGACCAGGCCTGCATTCCAGATCCATCACATCGCCCTCCGCTCCAGCCTCCTATCAACCACAGATGGGCGACATTATTTCCGATGATGAGTATGTGGGAGGCTTCTCTGATGCTGATGATGAGAGGCCCGGCACAGGACATACTGAAAGCGCCTTTTACTTGGAAAATATGATCAAGCCCGTGACACGAAGACCTCAGTCGAGAATGAGGCGCGGACCAAGTAGCCGTTCACGAGACGAGAGGAGCAGGGAGAAACCACCACCTCAACCGGCATCACGCCTGGCAAACAGTATATTCCCACCAGGCATGCAAGATCACGCAGAAGGTGATATGCTATGATGATGTAAAAAGTACTAGTTTTATTCGCCATTTTTGTATAATTTTTGGATATGATGTATGATGAGTGGAACTTGTGCTGCGCTGGCGCCAGGGATTTTGCACGTGAACTAGTCAGGATTGGATATGTCACTACATAAATGTTAAAAGCGATTGAATTCAAACCCGAATAGGCCATTGTATTCGCATTTCATAAAAAAGACCTGTAGTTGTGAGGTGGTTGTGTGACATCTGTCAGTTTCACCAAGGGAGGGGGAACATGGTAAAGTAAGGTACAATGGAAGCTTAAGCTTCCATCGACTAAATCCGAATAAAGAGTCATAAACTCAAGACTATCTATTCTCAAGAAAAGACAGCTGATCATATCTTATAATACGTTGCCCTCAAGTTTAGTTCGTATGATAACGCCTTAGAAAACGCGGACAGGGCATATATATCTAACCCCGTTTAATGCATATTCAGTATGCGCATTTCAATCTTCATAACTCACGGTTTTAAGATGGAAAGGTTTGATACAACGACCAGCACTCTGTGGAATGATGCCTATTTTGTTTCGAGGCTTTTCTAATGTCTCGAGGCATGTCAATCAGTCGACGAAATGGTGCCGCGCAATAAATGGTGCAAGGTTCATGAGCAAGCGCAAAGCCAAGGCTCCTAAACCCTTTGAATTAATATACCCTGATGCTCCCACAAAGGAGCACTCCGATCTCGCATCCTTTTTATCATATGTGGAACGTGTCAGCTTAAACAAAAGATCTACGGTCTACAGAGGCACCCATTACGAATACACAGTCGCCGATACACTATCCCGGTATGGCTTCGTCCTCAAACGCGTTGGGGGGCAGTCAGACCGTGGCATGGATCTTCTAGGAATATGGACGCTCCCCTCAACGACACAGACATGTAAAGTGATTCTTCAATGCAAAGCGGGTGCTCGGAGTGCAAGCCCAATGTACATTCGGGAGCTCAAGGGCGCTATGGCAGCAGCACCTCCGGGATGGCGAGGCAATGATGTCCTGGGCCTCCTGGTGGGTGAGAAACCAGCTACGAAGGGTGTGCAGGGCGAGATGCACTCTGCGGATGTGGCGCTGGGTTATGTGTGTTGTTCGAAGGAGGGAGATGTCTTGCAACTGTTATGGAATATCAAGGCTCAAGAGATGGGTCTAGATGGAGTTACAGTTGGCTTGAAGTATGGAGAGGATAAGAACAAGCTTGTGTTGATGAGGAGAGGTGAAATGTTACCTCTACTGGAGAAGGTAAAGACTGAGGAGGAAGACGTGGTGGTTGACGTGTCTGCCATTGAGATCGAGGGGTCACAGGGTTAGACGTGGAATACAATCATGTATTTTATGTATTCTATGTAATATATGGCACATTTCGTTTATATGGTGGGTCAAATGTTAAGCAAAGGGCAGTTAATACTATGTTATCTCCCACAAGCAATTATGTTTATACCGTCACAACTTCACGTTAAGACTGGGAACGCAATATATAACAGAGTTAGCACGTCAGAACGTTATCCAAATTTATCTATGCGAAAACGTTCTATAATGACATGGCCCTCACTTATCCCACATCGAAATCTCCTTTCCCTTTCCTCATCTCTCACAGTTAACGACACTCACTTCTGGTGGTTACATTCCACGCTCACATACCAACCTTCGCAATGGCCTTCTTCACAGCCGTTTCGATCTCCTTGAGATACATTTCGGGCTTCGTCGTACCAACGGCTTTGTTGTCATCAGTACCATCCATGTCGAAAACGTCATCGAAGCTGAACTCCCCAGAAACCACTTCTTGCTCGACAAGGTCGCGCGGCGCGGCCTTCTCGAAGCTGACCCAATCCTGACCTTCATGATACTTGTGACAGAACTGCTCCTCAACCGGTTTGCCAGACTCGAAGCGGCATTTCCACTAGCCACCGCTCGCCTTCTGGAAAGGTTCGGCCCAGCGAGAACTGGGTTCGTGCCATTTCTTGTCCCACTTGTTGTTTTTCTTGCTGCGCATTTGAGTCTCGAGTCTCCAGACCTGGGTAAGGAACTCCTTGTACTGCTTCTCGGTGCTGTTGCGGCGGTTGAGGTGGACAATGCCGTAGCTGGCGAAGGTTGGGAACCATTTGGGGACATCAGTCTTGACAGGAGTTTCGTACATATTTTGGCGCTTAGCATCGTACTCAGTCTCGGGGAGTAGGTAGGGGAAATAGTCGGTTTCCCATTCAAGTTTGTTTGTGTCGACGGCCTTGGGAAGTTCTTTCATATGGGGTGAGTTGAAAGTTGGGAAGTGGTACTTGACCTGCTTGGAAAAGGCTTTGTTGTATGCCTTTTTCTTCGAAAAGGCCGCCTCTTCGTCAAGCCACTTGGTCGCCGGACAGATATTGGATGACTGGTCTTTGAGCCACTCATCATAGTTTGAGGATTTGGAAGTCGAAGACTTGTTGGAAGACTTGCCCTTCTTTGAAGTATTCTGGAGAATGGCAAATTCATCTTCATCGACCTCTCCCAGCGAGAACAGCCCCTGAAAACTCTCAGCTTCGCGAAGAACCGCCGTCTGTTCCTCGGTAGGTGGTAGGTGAGAGGTCTCTGGGTGAAATGTGAACTCTCCAGCAATCATGCCTTCTACATATCCATCGCGAATAGCGATCTTTCTGGTCAAAGTGGCAACATCAACTTTGTCGGCGTATATTTCTTGTTGGACATCCGGTGGCAGCACAGGGAATTCGATCGGTGTGTCCAAGTCGAGCATCTTGAGAGCCTCCTGTTCGGCAGCGGCCTGTCTCTCATGATTAATCTCTTTGACGCCAGCATCGTGATGGCGCTTCTTGTAGGTAGCGTGAACAGCATACTCTTGGCGAATGGCAGCCTCAAGAGCAAGTGGCTCGAGGAAGTTGGCTTCGCTATGCCACTTGTGTAGGGATAGAGGTATCTCAGGGTCGATTTGCGAAGCGAGGATTCTAGGCTTCAAGGTGAACTCATCATCTTCGGGATAATCTTCGTTGCAAGGATAGGGGTATTCGGAATGCCAGTTCTCTAGAAGCTTGAATTCGGGCTTGCTCTCTGGAAAGGTGAACTGGGATCGGTGGCTGGTGTTGGGCTCGTGATACTCCCGGCGTCGATTGACTTGGGCGTCGATGTTCCGTTTGAGCTTGGCTTCGCGTCCATCTCTAGCATTGGGCTTATCCTTTTGAGGGTCGGTAGGAGGAGTGTGAACATCAACTGAAGACACTTCGCCCGGGTTGGGGCTGCAGAGGTAATCATTAAGAGCTCGTCGACTGTGTGGCGAGAATACTTTGAGGTTGCTCCCAGATGAAGAACTTGGATAAGTGCCTTGTTTCTCTTCTTGACTTCCATTGGGAGGCAATTCTTGGTCTGGATTCTCTATGAGTAGAGAAGGAGGAGGTTGGGCGCATGGGGCCGACAAGTTGTTCGGCGTCATGATGAAGGTTGGTGTTGGGTTTCAAGATGTGTCTCCGATAACAAGTCTCCCACAGATTTGTCCAGAAGAAAGAAATTTGTGTATATTCTAAAATGAGGAAATATTGTGTGCGCGGGAGGAGAGAGGGGAATATTCACAATGTGTGGTAGGTGAACAAATAATGAGTGAACAGAGCTGTGCAGCCGTCCAGCAGTGCCTGTCACTCCAGTTCACCAACTAGACCTGAACAAGGTGAATTTTTGGAACCAACACTGTCTGGACAATTGGGAAGAGAACAATGAGGGCCTGCAAGAGATGAATTACAAACGTGCTGCTAATCAGGGGCTGCCAGTGTAAAAGGGTTTCTGCCAACGTTTGAGAAAGTTCACTCAGTAGAGAAGCAAAGTCCAGTCACTATCTTATATACAGCCACACAAAAAAGGTTATGAGTATTTCTCACTTATATGATGCCATGTTCTTGTTGTTGCCCAACTTTGTGTAGATACAAAGTTTTGCGATTTAACCTAATAGGTCAAACCCCCTCTCCCAACGTCTTCAATGAGCTGACGACTCCCGCGTACCTTCACCATCAGTGAGTCACGACGCGAGGGACAGATCTCGATGTCAACGATTTATGAGGATTTGGCCAGCTTTATAAACTGTTTGCGCCCCTTGGTCCTGGGTTCTGAGCATACACGAGATCGTTCTGTGGCGGTTGCATCTTCGGCAGAGCCGGTGCATACGATGAGAGACTCGTGGATCGGGTTGTTTGTAACGTTGTATGGTCATACATTGACCCGTGTCAACTTCTAGAAACATTCCGTAAGTGGTTATAATACAGTTATATACAAAAGTCCATTCAAAACTCCCCCGCTCCCATCTATATCCCGTGTTATACATGCAATCACAAGCACAGACACCGCTGCATGTGGCTCGTTTTCTGCATTATGATGCCACAGGCCCTACCTTGACCTGCTCTCGAAGTCTCTTAGCCTCGGCCACCCGGTTCTGTTTATCTTGTCTTCTCTGTCCTGCCTCAATTCTCGCAAACTGACCACGCGCGCCATGCTTGAGCTTTGTGATCATGTCCGCAGCCTTGCCCTTGTCTAAGTTCTCGGGTTTCAAAGGTTCCGCCTTTCCCCGCATCTTGTTGATGAAGTCAACTTGTCCTTGCGTAGGTGGCAGTGTCCGCCATCTTTGATAGCGGTGAATAAATGTGTGGGGGAACATCTTGGCCGCGAAACTGTCCGCTCCGTGCACTGCATCAGTGAATGTGGCTGCCGTGAGGATCTCCCGTGGCATTGCGTATGGTGCTTTGGCTACGCCAGGCGGGAGAGCTCGTACCTCTATAGCTCGGTAAAGCGGCCCCTTTGTGTTGAGCTGTTCACTAACCCGCTCGATTCGAACATATGAACCACTCGGTGACGATAACACAAACTTTTCTTTTCCGACCTGAACCCATGCATACTTACTTATGGCCCGGATGTGTTTCTCGCCAGACGTATCGGCGATAAGATCTAAAACCGAGTCATAGTCTGTGAATGTGACACTATCGGCTCCAGGCCCGGGAGTGGTCTGGTATGACAAAGGTTGTTGAGACGTGACATGCTCTGTGTCCTTGATCTTGCGTAGGTCATTCACTGTTGCCCTCTCAACCAGGATATCAGGGTCAAGACCAAATAGCGTTGGTGTGGTCACGATTCCAGTGTCCAAACTCGAGACCAGATCGATGATATGGCAGTTCTTCTTTCCCGGGTGTAACCGCATTCCTCTACCGATCATTTGAACAAGCAAGTTACGAGACCTCGTCGGCCTTGCGAGGATAATGCAGTCGATATTTGGGATATCAGTTCCTTCAGTGAAAACACCGCAGTTGACCAGCACAGGAAACTCTCCCTTTCGAAACGAATTCAACGTCTCGCCTCTTTCAATCTTGGGGGTCTCTCCAGTAACATATCTCGCGTCAAAGCCGTGCTGCCGGAACCGATCTGTCAACTCCACCACATGAGCAACGTCAACGCAAAACACAAGTGTTGATTTTCTCCCTGGAGCTTTCGCTATCCAGCTGCGGACTGTTATATCGTTGATCTCACTGGTGTTGACGGCCTTGGATAGATCTGAAGGAAGATAATCGCCGAAAGCCCCCTTCTTAACTTCGGATAAGTTTGCTTTAGACTCAACAGTTGTAAAAATGACATCGGACAGCCACTTCTTAGAGATCATATCCACATAATCTTTATGATAGACGATTTCGTCGATAGCTGCGCCAAGTTTCACTCCATCGAAACGTGAGAACGTGGCAGAGACACCAACTAGATTTGGAGAGTCAGGTCGCTTCTCATCCAATCCAAAGTGACGAAGGGTCTTGAGGTACCCTGGAGCGACGATGTGATGAGCTTCGTCAACCAGCAAAAGTTTGAAGCGGGACGGGTCGAATTTCTTAAGACGGCCTTGTGACGTTATGCTTCGCACGCTGGCGACTGTGATATCTGCCGTTCCAGTTGCATGAACATTACCCATCTCAATCTCGATCCTCTTATCTGGATACGCGCGTTGACAGTGATTCGCCGCTTGTTCCACCAGCTCACGACGATGCGCCAAGATTAGTGTCTGTTGCGCATCCTTATTTGCTGTTGGGATTCTATCAATGAGTTGTGTAAAGATGACCTTCGATGTGTCAATCGATAGAGCTTTCATATAAGAGAAGTGCGCTTACTGTTTTACCGCTACCAGTAGCTAGAGATATTCCGACTCTTTTGTGGCCATTCTTTAACGAGGAAAGAACTGAGTCTATGCATTCTTCTTGATAATCTCGAAGCTGTAACTTGGGGGTTTCATGAGGAACAGCTGAGGCAAAGGCTCTGAATGGCTGTGATTTTATTATGAATGGTAACGTCGCGGCTTTGGGCCGTAAAATACATCGTGGTATAGCTCGTAACATTGCACATGATGAGAGGTGCAATGGAAATACGTTTCGTCTCATCGATATGTGATAAAAAAATACTTCATGGCTAAGATGTCATGAGTCTTTGACTAAGGTATCCAAGGTTTACAATGTGAATGCATTATGTAAGCAACATTATTCCACTAATATTTCACTTCAACGTGAAGGAGTGGACAAGCGCTTATAAAATTTCGGTGCAATATGAGCCATGAGTTAAAGTCAATATCAACTTCTAAACTGTCTTTTTTTGTGTTCTAAAAGTTCTTATATTTTCTTCTTTGATACCCGCTCCTAGTCAGGAGTAACTCGAATTCATTCTACTTGCTACCATGTTTTCGCCCTCTCGTATTCTTCCAGATATCATACACAACCGAGCATGGAGTCGGAAACCAATTATGAACCCCTCGATGAGGATTTAAGCGACACAGAGCAAGTTGGAAGCATGAAACTGAGAGACGATGTTCTGTTACCGCCACTTGACGAGCAATACGTTGCTGATCAAACCGACGCATCTGGCAGCGTGTATAGTGAGAATGAGGATGAAACAGATCAAGACAACGAGGATCCTTGCCTGAAAAGACGTGCTGAAGAAGATTTAGCCCCCCGACTTTTCAAAAGACAAAAAGGAGTTCTCAACACCGAATACTTGGATCTTCTCAATAGAGATATTGAAGATGCAGCCCAGCGTGTCTGCTTTACCGACGATAACGAAGAGACCGTTCTGTACCCAAGCCAAATAGGTCTCACTTACTGGTCAATACCGGAGAAGAAACTTTTCTTCGAAGCGATCGCTCGTCTTGGTCAGAGTGATCTTCCAGGTATTGCATCCCGGATAGGCACCAAGAGCGAGATCGAGGTGAATCATTATCTCAACGTGCTCCGAAGAGCACGGCTTTTGAGACAACGACAAGTCAGACGCCCCGCTATTGAATTTCCGGAGATCCCAGCCGCAGTAGAACTTAGCCAGCAATGTTGCCACGCATTGGACGAGGCTGCAGATGCTATTTCTGTGCGCCAGGAACGAAAGGAGGAACAGCGAGAGGAGAGTAAATGGGGAGACTGCTGGGATATCAGCCCAAGAATCGCTCGCCGAATCGACAAGGGCGAAACCGTCGCTGAAGGCCAGGATCTTCCTTTCTCCAAGCTATTCAACTTACACGCCTGGCTAAGACTCTCTGAGCGCATCTTTATGAATTCCTCCATTCCTAGTGAGAACTGGGATTCTATCGACAATAGCCCCCCCTCAATGTGGGCTACTACGTTCGAAGACTTTCACTCTTTGGCAGTCTCAATTACAAAAAGATTGGTTCAAACAACGATATTTCTCAGCGAGTCAAGAATCAGGGCCAAAAAGGAACTCGTACCAACTACTCGCGAAATCATCAGAGCACAAGATGTCGAAGCAGCCGTATCCTCCCTAGGACTGAATCATAATTCCCATCAGTTTTGGAGCCAATGCGCACGAAGACTACGACTTGAGGTCCATGAGGAGCCGCCCCAGCGAGAGGAGGAAGGAGAACGTGAACCCCTTAGCTATGAAGAAGTGGAAACCCTTCTGTCTAACGGCGGCGAAGAGGCCGACCAAGCCTTTGAAGCACCATCTGACGTAGATGAAGTCGTCAACTCTTCTGGAAACGAGGCCCTGAGCTCTGATTTCGAAGAGCCCGCCTCACATTCGAATGAAGAGGACGCTGCTATCGCACGGGAGGCAAACGAAGTTGTGCTGTTCTCAGCCGCCGACTTTCCAGAAACGTATCGGAAGAAAGAGTCTCTCAAGAACCGCATCGCAAGTGAGCGGCGACAGGAGCAATATGCAGAAGAACGCGACCAGTACGTCAGCTGGCAGGCTGAGACTGAGATGTGGGATCTGCTACAGAAGAAACCGCTCACTGAACTACCTAGAATGCTAGAACCGGGTCCGTTGCAACGGTCGAATATGGATGTGGAGAGTATCTTTCCCATAGGAAGGGATTGGAGAACCACGATAAAGTACCGCAGTGAGTGGGAAGGAGAATATGAGACAATACCTGATGTTAGCCAGTGAATGGGCATTAGAGCTCGGGGAGCCCGTTTTTTAATGTGAATAAATACTTATGACTCCCATGCCTAAGGGTATCTGAACCGCCCGTCTATCATTTGAATCGTACTAGTTAATTGTGAAGTTAACGTCTCCTCTTTGGTCTTGCCTTTGCTTTAGCAGTCTTAGCCTTCTGGCCCTTCTTGGCACCTCGTGTAGACTTTGACACTTGTGTTTCGCTCTCTTCCGCACTTTCTTCTTCCTCACTAGAAGAGCTCTCGCTTTCTTCTTCTTCGCTCTCCTCTTCTTCTTCCTCTTCTGTGGTCTCGGCTTTTTCTTGCTTCTCAGCCTTGGCCGGGGTGGCTTTCTTCTTTTGTCGCGAGGCGCCTCGTTTGGACTTGGGCGCTGGTGATGGGGCGTCCGTGCCGTCCTCGGTGTCTTCTACTGATGTGCCTCTTGTTTTCGTATCGCCTCTCTTGCGCTTCTTGGCGGGCGAAGGTGGCGGAGAAAGGTCGAGCTGGGCTGGTGATGTTGGAGCTTCGCTGGGGTCGGCCGCGGCGCGGGCCATCATGGCATCAAAGAATTGCGCCCTTGGAAGGGAGAACTCGTTGTATTCGCTCTCATCATCGTCGAAGTTCTCTCTTTCGTCAATGACCTCGAGATTGTAGTATGTTCGGAGCTTCTGCCAAATGTACGGAATGCGTGTGTGTTGGTAAAGATCAGGGTCGAAACCATGGTTCCGCAAGTGCTCCGAAATCGCTATCATTCGGAAGTGCTTGTGCATGCCTGCGCAGCACTGGTTAGCGACAGCTCGACATGCAAGAAGAGATCTAACTGACCAGCTGGTTTCCAGCGAATGACACCCTTGAATAATGAAGCCACTTGATCATCCGTCCAAAGATCATTGTAGTTATTGTCTGGCTGTTGCTCTTTTGTCTCACTAGGCCCTTCGTTATCACCAGTCTGGGGAGTATCGACGTCCATTGCATCGTCATCCCGCGCAGGAGTTGGTGTCGCAACAGTCTGGGTGCTAGCCCGAGCGCGCTTCCTCGGCGCCATTGTTGATTATGATGAGGAGATCAAGAGTGATCGATTCAATGGCGATGTTCGTGAAATATGCTGTGTAAGTGGCAATTGTGTATTGGGGCTGTTGCTTGGTGGTATGGATAATCTTGACGTCTCGAACAAAATTGAAAGATTTAAAAACTGCCCGATCCCGTGGTCCAATTCGATGGACTGGCTAAGAAGGAGGTTCCGATGAAATCATAAGCTAATCTTGCAGAAAGCGCGCCCCGAGCTTGAGGCGCTCCATTTTTAGTGCACAGGGCCCTGAAACGCGCCTATGAAGCGCGTCTACGGAGGGGTATGGATATTGACATCGCGTTAATTGCTCTTCAGACGTACCTGGGATAACAAGCTCAAGTTCAGGCTCGACATTGAAACCCGAAACGTGCCGTTGAGAACGATGTTATTGAATCGTATAAAATTGATGAGCAAGGATCATGGCTGAATCCAAGGAAGACCTCGGAGCTGTGTTCACTATACCTGACTTTTGGGAACCGTCGAAGTACCTGCATCAATTAGATGGTGACTCGCAAGCTCAGAATCCCTTCTTTTCTCCTGGGCTCAGAGGTAAGTATGGAGCTTGAAATTGAACTGTAGCTCTACTAACTTGTGTATCTAGATGATATAAAATCGGAGCTTGTTCAACTTGGCCAAGTGTCAGTAGATCAAAGTGGCTTCTTCAAATTACCGTCCCAGCTTGAGCCTCAAGGGGAGCTAGAGCCAGAAGTAACTGCCTCCACCAACGATATCCAAGCCTCCACGGAAAGTCTAGCTGATCCGGAAACTGATGATGATATCTGGATACACACCGATGAGCCAGAAGAGAAAACACCCGAACACAGGACTTGGGACAGCTTCATCTCCGGTACGCCGGCTGGTCAACAACCGCCTTTAGTTACGGAAGCTGGAGCCACCGTCTACGATGCCTTACTGGGTTGGTCCATCGACCCTCTTGAGCTGAAAAGCTCTGAGGTCCCTGTTGTCGATATTAAAGCCTACTTTTCTTCATTGCTTGCTTTGGCTCTTGGCCAAGAATCGATCTTCTACTCCAAACAGGAGAAAGGACGCTCTTTTGCACCAGCGATTCCGAGCATGCGGGTCACGGGGTATTCCAAAGATGTACTCCAGGGCCTGGAAAAACAATGTCACCGCTGCGGATCAATGTTATTCGAATTGCGGTCCTTTGTCAATTCTACTTACGCAAAGCGCACGTCCAAATGCGGTGTTGCTTTGGCTGGTGTGCTTGATCAAATCCTTAAGGACGTTCAGCGACATGTCGCGCTCCATAGGCAGACACCACGGTCGCTTTTGGAGCTTCAATCAACAGTCAAAGGAATGCTTGCGATTCTGATACCCTTTCAAAGACTTGCTTCCAAATTCCGCAAAGGCTACGAAGACCAACATGTTCTATCCCAGGTATTTCATGAAGCATACTCAGTCGACTACGGCGAAGAACAGCTTCGAGGGATCATGCGCGAGGTTTTACAGAGAGTTTCTTTGCCTTGGATCGAGTTCTTGGAAGAATGGATCGGTACCAGGCAAGAGAAGGGGATTCCCTTGACCAAGGCCAATATTGGGGCGAGCAAAGGCTTCATCAAAGTCGACACAGAGAAATACACCGATGACTTCGGGCAGGAAGTTGAGGACATTGACTTTCTCTTGGATGAGACCAAAATGCCCCATTTCATGCCCTACGATATTGCCAAGTCTATCTTTGAGACAGGCAAGAACCTGCGGTTCATTAGGGAATGCCATCCCGAGCATCCCTTGGCTTCATCAAGTATCATCAGTGCGACTGATCCCCCAAAGGTTAGCTGGCTTTACGACTGGAACGCCATCGAGAACCTTGAGAAACGTGTAGCCAAGTATCACGACGATCTCTTAGGGGCAATCCGCGACTATTCATTTCGAGATAAAGCCAACCTGGAAAGCAATGAACTCACGATTGGTTCTGGGATCGCAAACCCTTTCTTTCGTGAAGACCCCATGTCAGAAATAGGGCTCCTGAATACTCTCACAGCGCGTATGGACGAGCCCTTGCCTGATGATGTGAGCAAAGAGGATACATTGAGCCAAATCTTGCGCGAACGTCTTACACAGTCTGCTACCCGCACGTCTCAATCTCCTACCAATGGCTTCGATTTCACGCCTCATCCATCACTCCTTCCCGTGCTTTCGTTTGGGGGTATTGCTTCCGCGCAATCTGAGGTCGTCAACCAGGAGAGTCTGAGGCTGCTGTTTAATAACCATGATTTACGTGGTCACCTAAAGATGCACCGTGATTTCCACCTCTTTGGTAGCGGCATGTTCGTAAGCCGCTTATCCCATGCCTTATTCGACCCCGACCTAGAAACAGCCGAACGACAGGCTGGAGTTGCACGACAAGGAGGTGTCATGGGTCTTCGTCTTGGAGGTCGAGATACTTGGCCACCGGCGAGCTCGGAATTACGCCTAGCTCTCATGGGCGTTCTAGCCGACAGCTTCGATTCAGACAACGAGTTCGCTAAGGAGAAGCTGGCCAGTATATCGAGGGATGCGTCTGAGCTCCCAGGAGACATGAGTTTTGCTGTTCGAGATTTGTCGCAGGAAGAGATCGACAAGTGCATGAATCCAGACTCTTTGGAAGCTCTTGACTTTTTGCGATTGTCCTACAAGGCACCTGCGGCATTATCCAGTATCATCACCCCTGTGATATTGACACAGTATGATCGAGTCTTCAAGCTGTTGCTAAGAATCATGAGGATGGTTTATATCGTCAACCAACTGTTCCGAGATGTTAATGCTAGAACCAGTCGCTGGGATGACCCTGAGGACATTTCCTACCGACTTACTCGAGAGGCCCACCATTTCGTTTCCGGTATCACCTCGTTCTTCATGGATGCTGGGGTCGCCATTCCTTGGGAAGCATTTGAGGCTAAACTAGATAAAATCGAAGCCGACTTGAAGAACCCTTCGACAACCAAGAGTACAGCAGATAAGGTTGAGAGTCCTGATAGACTACGAGAATTTCACTCTCGAGTGCTCGATCGAATCATGCTTTCTCTTTTTCTCCGGAAACGACAGCAGCCAGTGCTGAATTTGCTTGAAGAAATCTTTAGCTCAGTTCTGGAGTATGCCAAGTTTTCTCGAAGAAAGGCTCTTGGAAAGACCCAGACTACCGACCCTGGACAACTGAAAGAATTACAGGGTCTGTATAGCAATTTCAAGAAGAAGGTGCAAATATTCATGACTGTCTGTCGAGCCTTGACCGAAAAAAGCCGATCGACAAGTAATAAGGTCTCTGACGATTTGGGTTTGAAACAGGAGGGTATTGGTGAGGACCATATGGTGGCTCAACTATTGTTAAAGCTCGACATGGGACACTACTACACTAAACACTAGGAATACGATTCATAATATAAACATATTAATCATGAAGGATATGAAGGCATACATGAAATTCTATCAAAACTACATGTTTTTTTTTTCAGACTACCAAAGTATTGATGATTCGATACCCCGCCATCGACGTAGGTTGTACCCCTTGCTTTGGTGGTCAGCTTGATTAGTGGATGCCCCTCCAAATGACCCCACGCGTCAGGTCCTAAGTTACTGGGCCGTTTGTTTATATTGAACCTTCAATACTGGACATTAGCAACCTACCCATTACCAAAATGTCGCGACAAAGCGTAGCAGCGCGCAACCTGTCTCTGACTGAAGAGCTTGAAAGGCTCGAGCAATCAATCACTCTGACTCTTCAAGGTATACATGAATCTAGAATTCTCATGATGCGGAGCTGACCGGTAGCTAGAAATCGATCACAACTTTAGCAAGTCGCATCGCATAGTAACAACAAGCATTCTACCCCTCGTAGAACAGTATGGAGAACACTCTCGCGCTGTTTGGGAAGCTTCCAAGGTACATCAAATCATTGGGATTAGAAGGAAGCGACGCTCACAACATGTAGTTCTGGAAGCAATTTTTCGAGGCATCGGCCAACGTATCTCTCTCCGGTTATGAGGAGCTCGCCAACGACGACGAAAGCGAAAACGTGGAAGAAAGCACGGCTATGAGGGAAGATATAACAGAAGAATATACGTCTCAGCATAACGAAGATGTCACCGCTACAACTGGCATCGAGCAATCTACCTTCCAAGCCGAGGACTCTCTCCTTGATGATGCTGAGCTCACAGGAAGCACACCACGACCTGGGAAGACCAAGACACGATTCTCTGATATGGAATCTCCCTATGAAGCTATGAAGCGCGAGATGGAGGGAGAAGAGAACAACACCACAGTCCTAGACGATAACGAGGACTCGACTGTCTTGTTCGCCCAACACACCGCTAGACTCCCCGATATGTCAATGACTCCGCAGGCCCAGCGCGATCACACAATGACCGGCGAGCACTCTGTCCAACCTCATAAGGATCCTTTGCTTCACCGCGTCCTCGACAAGAACTACCGCATTCAGGCAACTCCACACAAGCCCGCCCTTCGCATCTCTCCACTCAAGAGTGCCCAGCCTAAGAGCGCTCAACGCAAGAAGGACGCTCCGGCATGGAACGACTCACCAGGTTCCTCGCCCGAAATGGCAGTTCCGACTCTGCGTAGTGAAGTTTTCATGTCGCCCTACAAAAGTAACGCTCGACAACGTCTCGCGGCGGCAACGCAGGGTCCTCGAACACCTGGTGTTAGTGTTCAGACGCCAGCGACAGCACGAAAGACGCGGGACGTCTTCGCTGATGATACCGTCACAGTCACTGGCAAGGAGAAGTATGAGATTGACTGGGATAGTGATGAAGGAGATGAGGATATCGATTTATATGCAGGCATGAGTCCGCCCAAGACGATCCAGTTCGCGCTGCCGCCTTCGAAGCTCTTGCAAACACCTGGTAAGTTCTATGCCGCTCTCAAATGCACCTCTCTATACTAACGCTGGCTCACAGCACGTGAAGCAAGCCAAAGAATTGTTGGTGATATTCTACTGGATGCTGGAGCCGATCCAAATTCATCTGAATACAGTCCCTCTATGGTGAAGATGAACGAGGATATTTTGAATGATAGTTTCTAATTCCATCACACTCAAGTCAAAATAATAAACAGTCTTCTATTACTCAAGTCTAAGGACTTATCGAGTATGAAAACTAGTCCTGCATTTAAACAAAAGATACCCTTCACCCCTTTACATTTATGTGCCCACCACCATATTTTCAGTCCGCTTTCTAAATCAGCACCGTGCCCCAAGCCTTGAGTTCCGTCGACTACATACTGAATCGAATCTGTGACCTGAGGGCCTGTTCCTGGAGCTTCTTGGCATCGATTTCGGTTCCATTCTTTTCCTTCTGGTCCTTTTTGAAAAGGGGCGCTGACGAAGAAAAGGTAGCAATAGAGGCAGTTTCGGGATCGGCGACCTTGGAGCTGCTATACTTGGTAGAATCTACCTGGGCTACATTTACTTGTTAGTTAATAAGCCCAGCTTGCTGCAAACATGATGCTTACAGTCTGAGGTTGTGGGAACATTGTTGCCTGCGTTGTTGGACATATTGAAGGATGTGAAGGGGGTTCGAAGTGATTGGATTGGTGGATATAGACAAGGTTGGGATTAAGGTATTAAGCTTAATAGTTTGTGTTCTTGTTCTTGTTATGGAACTGTCGATTGCTTCTGCCTGAGAATGAAGTCCACAAGGGGTGCATCTTGACTGTTATATACTCGATCCTGACAATGGCACTTGCAAGACACTCTTGTTACCATGACTATGAACGAAGGAAAACCACTAGGATTCTTGCGTAGTCTACTACGGGCGTGAGTCATGACGGAAGCCATCAACCAGGCGTTAGGGCTGACGAAGGACTGCACGCACGGCAGTAGAAAAGTCTACGTATACCATGGGTGCGTACAAGGCTGACGAAGAGTTCGGGAATACGTACGTACTGTGTAAGCGCACACGCAGAACATCACCTTATTCCCTGATATGTGTGGGATATGCGAGGGATGGATGCTGCTTTAGGAATAGAGAGGAGTAACATGCAGCTGGTATTGGTCACTTTGGACATGACAGTCATGCAGAGGACGAGCTTTCATTACGCCAGTGCCCGAGATTACTCACTTGACGACTTAGCGTTTCCACTGGCCATTCAGCCAAATTCGAGGATGAGCTAGAGACCTCGAAATGGATACGGAATCCCGAGTGAGGATCTATCTACCTGAAAACATAGCGTCTTAGATCAGACAAAATAGTGCGAATCTTGCTCTCCATGCTTCCATTGAGGTTGCATCTCAAGACTACTCCTTTCAATGGCACTGTTAGATCATACTACCTGTTTGTTACCCACCATCTGAAGACTGCGTGGTACAACATGGATGTCACCTGCATGGGTCGGTCCCTTTTTGATAGAAATTACGCTTGATGGGTCATAATCCAGCCGCGTCTTACTCTGTTCACCCATCAACTTAGGAACTCACCATTTAGAAATCGTCGAGTTCATTCGAAGATGAGTCCCACAAGACAGCGGTCAGGTATCAAAGCATGCGTCACCGGAGAACAGACACGCGTTGGTTCTGCATGTTGACAAGGCCAGTGAATCTATGCTTAAACGGGCAGCTCATAAAATAACGTTAAATTTTAGAGTGGATGAAGTCCAGATGGCATAAGCCATATGTGGCTGGAGAAATATTAGTGGCGGTGTTACACTGGGCCCCGCAAGGTTCTCGGCGCAACTCGAATCTTATCGATAACAATTCTACTAGCGTCTAAAAAAATTTGGAAGGAAAGTGAAAGGCGAAAGACCGTGCCAGTTAGTTGATGGTCCTTGGATGGTGAAGACGTCGCACGCAAACATGGAAGATCAAGTGCACAAGCCGCATCGCAAGTCCAAGGACAAAAAGGACAAGAAGCAGCATACAGGCGGTAAGTCATTATCATATACACTCTCAATTAGCGACTGGCGCATACTAACGAGCATCAGAGCGCAACCCAAAGGCGTTTTCTTTCGCCAGGCCTGGCAAGCTCCAGAGACAAGCGGCGAGATCGCAAGATGTAGGACTCTCTATTTCCTTAAACAAGAAGCCCCAATTCTGAAAATTATAAACAGATTAAGGAAAAGCGCCTCCATGTTCCGCTCGTTGATCGATTGCCCGATGAGGCCCCGCCTCGACTCGTTACCATCGTTGGCCCTCCCGGCGTAGGAAAGACGACCTTGATGAAGTCGCTCATTAGACGATATGCCAAAGAAACTATATCTGACCCTCAGGGCCCTGTAACGGTCGTCACATCGAAGAAGCAGCGCCTAACCTTCGTCGAGTGCCCAAACGAACTAGAGGCTATGGTCGACATCGCAAAGGTTGCCGATATTGTCCTCTTGATGATTGATGGAAATTATGGCTTTGAGATGGAGACTATGGAGTTTCTCAACATCCTTGCTGCTACAGGTATGCCAGGAAACGTCTTTGGGATCTTGACACATCTCGATCTCTTCCGGAAGCCACAGGCGCTTAAAGATGCCAAGAAGCGTCTCAAGAGGAGACTTTGGACGGAGCTGTATCAGGGCGCCCACCTCTTTTACCTCTCCGGTGTCATGAACGGCCGATATCCTGACCGCGAAATCCATAACTTGTCGCGCTTCCTCTCTGTCATGAAGAACCCACGTCCTCTCGTCTGGCGCAATTCTCACCCTTACTCTATCATTGACAGCTTTCGAGATATCACACACCCTACCAAGATCGAGGAAGATCCTAACTGCGACCGATCGATTGTACTGTCTGGGTACCTGCGAGGCACAAATTTTGCGTCGCACAATCAACGAGTCCACGTCCCTGGTCTGGGTGATTTTACAGTATCTAATATGGAGGTTATGCCAGACCCTTGTCCAACACCATCGATGGAGCTGGCAATGGCGAAGATCACAGGCAAGACTGGACGAAGGCGACTTGACGAAAAGGAAAAGAAGCTTCATGCTCCCATGTCGGATCGCAGTGGCTTGAAGATCGACGGTGACGCCATCTGGATCACCAGTGACAAGGGCTTCAGCTTCGACCGGGAGGAGGATGATGATGCCGAGCGAGGAGAAGGAGAAGAGATGATTGTTGGTCTTCAAACTGAGCGAAAACTTCTTGGCCAAATGGAGGGTGGCGTGCAGCTTTTCAAGGGTGGCAACCAGGTTGAGGCAGTGCCAGAAGAAGAAGAAGACACTGGACGAAAAACACATCGCAAACCTAGGTTTGCTCAAAGAGAAGAGGGCGATGATGACCAAAACGAGGACGATGAAGGTTTTGTCAGTGGCGACGAAGACTTGGACTCGGATGCTGAGGTTGAATTCAATGAAGGCAAGTTGGGCAAGATGTTCCGTAAGGATGCCGATAAGGAACTCGGTGAAGACGATCTTGTATTTGCCGATAGTGACTCGGACCTTGGTGCCTTGTCTGATGAGGAAGAGGTGGAAGAGGACGAAGAATACGATTCAGATGAGGAAGCAGCAGCATTGAGGTGGAAGGACAACTTGAACGGCACTGCAATGAAGCTTCATGGCAAGAGACGCTCGTATCACACCAGCGATCTGGCCAGGTTTATGTACGACGACTCACTAAGCCCTGAAGATGCTCTAAAGCGATGGAAGGGCGATGATGACGAATCGGAAGAGGAGAATATCGAGGACGACGATGATGATGATGACTTCTTCAAGAAGTCGAAACAAGAGCAGGAAGACGCCATAGAGGATAGGTCAATACCCGCATACGACTATGAGGATCTAGCTGCCAAGTGGGCATCAGAGAAGAACGTCGAAGCTCTACGGAGGAAGTTCACTTCGACAGCCCTCGCTTCCGGCGATGACGAGGACGGTGACGGGGATGGCAGCGACTTCGAAGGCTTGGATGACTCAAATGATGAAGGTGATGGTGTCTTCGAGGATCTCGAGGCTGAAGGTCAAGAAGAGCCAGCACAGCCCACTGCCGAGGATATTGAGGCCGAGCGAGAGAAGAACGCAAAGCGAAAGGAGGAACTCAAGATGCGATTCGAAGAGGAAGATCGTGAGGGTTTCCTCAATGATAAGGCAAACGCTCGACGAGAAGGTGGAGATGTGCAAGAGTTTGGTGAGGATCAATGGTACGAGGCGCAAAAGGCTATGATCCAAAAGCAGCTCGATATCAACAAGGAGGAATTTGAGAACCTCGATGAACGTCAACGCTCTGCTGTTGAAGGTTACCGAGCCGGCAAATATGCCAAGGTTGTCCTTGAGGGTGTTCCGGCCGAATTTGTCAAGCTCTTTGACGCCCGTCGACCCATCGTCGTTGGTGGTCTCTCCGCTACTGAAGACCGATTCGGCTATCTTCAGGTCCGCATCAAGCGTCACCGCTGGCACAAACGCATCCTCAAGACAAACGACCCCCTTATCTTCTCTTTGGGATGGCGTCGCTTCCAGACCATGCCCATTTACAGCACCACCGACTCGCGCACACGTAACCGTATGCTCAAGTATACACCTGAGCATATGCATTGCTTCGGTACCATCTATGGTCCATTAATTGCACCAAACACAGGTTTCGTTTGCTTCAACTCTATGTCAGCGTCTGCGCCTGGTTTCCGCATCGCTGCTACTGGTACAATCCTCAGCGTTGACGAGTCCACCGAGATCGTCAAGAAGCTGAAGCTTACTGGTACACCTGCAAAGATCTACAAGAACACCGCTTTCATCAAGGACATGTTCAACTCATCTCTTGAAATCGCGAAGTTCGAGGGTGCTTCTATCAAGACGGTTTCTGGCATTCGTGGTCAGATCAAGCGTGCTTTGTCCAAGCCAGAGGGCCAATTCCGCGCAACTTTCGAGGACAAGATCCTTCTGAGTGACATTGTCTTCTTGCGTGCTTGGTACCCAATCAAGCCTCACCGATTCTACAACCCAGTCACCAACCTCATCGGCTGGCAGCCCATGCGACTCACAGGCGAGGTCCGTCGTGATCAGAACGTGCCCACCCCCCAGCCCAAGAACAGCCAGTACCGCACAATTGAACGAGAAACGCGCCACTTCAACCCTCTCCGTGTTCCCCGCGCCCTTGCTGCCGACCTTCCCTTCAAGTCGCAGATTGTCGAAACCAAGAAACAAAAGAAAGAGACATACATGCAGAAGCGTGCTGTCGTCATGGCTCCTGGTTCCGAGGAGAAGAAGGCCCGCGCTCTCATGCAACAGCTGCTCACAATTCGCAACGACGCTGCTGCCAAGCGCCGTGCTGCAAAGGAGAAGAACCGCGCTGCTTTCCAGAAGAAGTTGGCAGACAGCGAGGAGAAGAAGGAAGCTCGTGAGAAACGGGAGTCCAAGGACTTCTGGAGGAAGAATGGTCGCAAGCGTGCAGCCGCCGAAGATGGAGGTGGCGGTAAGCGTAGGAAGTAAAGGGGAGAGTGAATATCTCCGTTACAGTTGCTTGAACTATATGGAAGTGGTTAGAAAGGTGCCAGTTGTATACCTTATTGGGTTGGCGTTTCGAGAATCAAAAGATAAATTATACTGCATTTTACATCGTATAAAAACCCTTTTCAAGACAGCATTATAGCATTGCTTGGACATTCAACTCCCGGGTTTGATGACGAACATGATGTAGGCATCGTACACATGACAGAACTAAATGTGTGTTTCGATATGTTTAAAAGTTGAGTGAATAGCATTGGCTTCAGCAAGCTACACAGTAACAATCGTAAACACCTATCCTCGAGACACAAACGTACAAAAACAAGCAACAGGCCAGATGCGATGTCCTCCCATACGTATTAATCAAGAGTTTCCATAGGAATACTCTCCCTGACACCAGCATCTGCCCGCTCAATCCGTATTTTAACCACCCTTCATCAACGTCAACTATAGTCGTTTGTCACACGTGCTAAAGAATGCTCCCAAAAAACCGATTCACGCCCGAGTCCAATCTGAACATCCCTTGCTCCTAATTCAAGGATAGACATACGCCCCAAAATGCCGTAAAACACATTCATTGCTTAGGCCAGCTATGCCTTCTCTGAGCTCGTGTACACATGGCACGTGTCTCGTTTTGGTTCCCTAAGAAGCGAGCATGGGCTCCTTGCTGGGGACGACATCCTCGTGAGGGAGCTCAGGGGCTGCGGCATCGATAGCGGTGGGCGCATTCAACTCCTCCTTGAGAGCGGCGGGGGTAGGGATCTGAGGAGCCTCTGCGGACTTGATGGGGTCCTCGGTAGGAGGAGAGGGAAACTCGGGCTGCTTAGTAGAAATGGGCTGCTCGGGCTTGTCAATCTTCTGGCGAGAAGGAGTCTTGCCACGGAGAAGGTCCTGGACCTTGCCGCTGTAGTCGCCAGCGTATTGCTTGCTGATGTTCGAGACCTGTTCCATTTGCTTCGAAGCGACACTCTGGATCTGGGCAGTCTGGGAGTTGATGAGTTCAGAAGCGTGGTGGAGTTGCTCGTCAATCAGCTCCTGGTTGGACGTATAGATCAGGGGAACAACGAAGGCGACAGTGGTACCGATGACAGCAAGTCCCCAGTAAGGAACAAGCTTGACGAGGTAGTATGAAATGAAGGCGGCGATGAAAGCCTATTCAATGTTAGTCCCAGCTACTGGATCTCTCGAATATCGGACTTACAGCGGCGGAAGCAAAGACGTTCTCGGCAAAGATGATCCGCTGGGCCTCGATGACAAAGAAGTTAATGAGCTCATGAACGTCCCCAATAAGGGCGTCCAGAGTCTCGCGGGGAACTGTGTAGTATCGACGAGGGCGGACCTGAGTGGCAAGGCCGTTGTTGAGAATGACCTTACCAAGAACCTCGGCAAGAATGGTTACGCCAAGAACCATCCACGAAACCTTAAGTCCCCATCGGAGAAGATCCAGGTATCGCGCAGTGAAGATAGCACCGATGATGGTCACATAAGCAATGGCAGATGCGCCTGTTGTGTCACTGACGTCAGCTCTCGCAGATCGGACAGGAGACAATAGATAACTTACGAGGGTTGTTCCATGAGAGAAGTTCAGAGAAGAATGAGTGGTAGTGTGTAAGAGGCTGGCCGGTAGCAGCGGGATTCGCGGGAGTGCGTCGAGCAGCAGCAAGGTTAGAGAGCTCGTTTGAGGCCTTCTGAGTGTGATCGTAGACGTTCTGAGCAACGGGGCCTGGAAAGATCTAGCGTTAGCAACGTAACAAAATCAGAGTTCTCAGCGAAGCGTCATACCGTTGGCGACAGATTGGTACGCAGCTGCGGCGTCTGGAAATCAAGTCAGTTATTTTGGTCTGCGGGAAGGCCCTGTATCATGGCGGGCAGTGCCATTGTCGCGCAAAGATCGCGGGAAAACACTGTAAAATGTGGTTAGCAAATCTGTTCGAAGCGTCCCGTACGAGGTCAGCGCATTTCAGCGCAAGAAAACATACCTCACTGGTCTTGGTGGTCTCAAGGAGAGAGTTGCCGTTGGCGGCCAAAGTGGAATCAGCCATTTCGACGATTTAGTGTGAAGAATGCGTAAGGAAGTGGTGTGCGCTCGCTGAAAGAACCGTCGTTGACTTATAGTTGAAAGTATGGGCACGAGAATAGGAGGTGAATCGGAAGAAGATGTTCTCTAGAAAGCGAAAAGCGGCGTGAGCGAAAGTGGCCAGAGAAATTTTGGACAGCTTGGTTTGTTTGTTTAATGCAGGGTAAAAAAGGACAAGGGGACGACGCTGACAAGCTACTGCTACGTAGCGATCTCTAGCTCGCTCCGCTCCCCGTCTCTGGGCCTACAACAGAGCTGCAACGTTTTTCTCGTCTGAGCCGATAGGTAACTAAAAACAGACTTAAGGGGTATCTGGTCGGGGGAGCGAGGTGAGTGGTCGTGTGAGAGGAACGGGCAAGTCAAGCGAAACGAGCGGCCCCGTCAGAGGCAGCAGGCTAGGTCCAGGATAAGGCATGTGAAACGTACCTTGAGAGTGCTAAATGTTCAGTGCGAGTGAGGTGATGTGAGGTGATGATGGTTGAAAGTGTCTCGTCGAGAGCGAGGAAGTCAAGTTTGTATGATGGAGGAGAAGGAATCAGGAATGACGTTTGTGTTCGTAGAGGACGGGACACTTCTCTTTTAGGAGCTGGAGGGGACCAAGTTTCGTCCTTGCTTCAGGTGGGAAAGAAGGCACGGGAACGAGTGACGACAGTGTCGCCAACCAGCCCACCAAAAAGAAAAACTGGACTAGCTACACTTGCTACACAACTCCAGCTGCTGGTAGTGGTACCCACGCATTATCCGTCCGTTACAACAAGATTTGAATTGCTACTGTGAATCACTGCAAATCTCCTTTTAGTGGACCGACGCTTAACAACGCTGTTGCGTAGCATCTCTCTCTTTGTCCAAAAGCTGGACGATGGAGCTTGGATACCAATCCATGATATGGCAGTGGAGCTCTGTTACCCATGACGCAGTGCTAGACCTATGGAGTACATCTCATATGCGCTCCACCAGTCAGCAGCTGCAGGTACCGCCAATGTCACCACTTCTCAAAATGTCCAAGCTGATCCGTCAACAAGGGTTAATCCCGTCATCAGGGAGCTTGAACGACGACATTCCAAGCATGCAGCCCTAAAAAAGTGACCAAAGTCAATTCTCTTTGTGACATATGGAGCTAAAAGTAAACAGACGACAGTTTACTATTTCAAGCCAAAGTACGGATACCTCATAATTCACCCGCAATGCTGCATAAACCTGTATGATGCTTTGACGTGATGATCTGGTCATTTCTAACGCATGTGAAAGTCGCACTAAAAAGGGGGGTTCTTTATCTCAAAAATGACAGGGCCTGGCCTCCAAAGCTCTAACTCAAAGAGCACAAGCCTGCATCTTCTTATCACCACCACACTACGATGGTAGCATCAAGAAAGAATAACAAGCTGTCCACAAGTTGGGGCTTATGTGTTATATTTTCTAGCGTCAGCGGCTTTAAGCGAGCATTGAACAATATTCAATTTCAAAACATGTCACTGGGATAGGCGGTTCATATCCCTTGTTCATCAACTCGAAGAGTTTCTGATGATGGCATCTAGCTGTCTCCTCATTGGCCAGCACTAAATATTGAATAGCTGAGTTACCTAACCGTGAGTTGATGCCACAGACTTCTTGAACCAGACGAGAATAATAATCTTATGAGATCTTATTGAACATTTTGAAGGCGACTTTATAAGAAACGCCAATATCCAGTCTTGGCAGAATAGGTACTGATCATGACATGTTCAAGTGCCAAGTTCAGAGGCTGAGATGATCCCCGTCGATCGCTGGCTTGCATCATAGTTACCAATACGTACCCAACTCCAATTCAGCATTCTCTATTACCTTCCATAGGTACTTAGGTAGGTGTCTTTGATCAACTTTTGTAACAAGAACATCATGAATAAAAATGTCTTTTCAATTACATAGACTTATATAGTATCTATCAATCCGCGATCGTGCGGCATTCTGAGAAACCCGGACAGAAGTTATCTTTAGACTCCAACTCCCGTGCTAAGTAGACAAACGCCTTGATATGACGACAATGATGGTGCCTTTGTGGCGCATGTGAAAACAAGGAAAACAACCGTTAAAAAGGGCACATGTGGCCCATGCCAAACACTGAAAGTTCCCAGCTTCTCGCCTTGACATCCCAACATATGCGCTCGACAGCACGAATCTCATGCTTCCCAAAATATGTACAAAGAATCGACAATTTCCACTTCGAAACATGTCGCGTGACCGATTCATGAATACGGTTCAACGTTCGTTGAGACCGAAGCCACAATCTTAACTCTACCTTCGCCAACCCCAGAAACTTCCTCCAGATCCTGGAGATCCAGCATTTGTCGATGCCGGCTTCATCGTGACTTCGTTTGTGGCAGCTACCCCATGACCGGTAAGAAGGCCGAACACTCCACCGGGTCCAGACTGTGATGCTGAAGGAGCGTGCGCTGACACGGAGCGGCTCAATCCGTGAGATTTGCGTATAGACTCCAGCTTTTGCCGAGCCTCTTCAGCTTCTTGCTTCGCCACTGCTTCGGCGGTTTTGGCTTGCACTAGCTCAGCCAGCAAAGCCTCGTGCTCACTCTGAGATGGCGCAGGCCCGGTCGTAGTCACCATTGGTACGCTGGCTTCGTGGTTCTGAGGCAGGGATGATATCCGCTTGTTGAACTTGCTCGTCGTAGTCGGCATAGGTTCGTGTTCCTGAGGCTGCTGTTGCGGTGGGTGTGGTGTAGTCTTACTGCGGTTGAGCTTAAACTCTCGAAGGCCACCTCCAGTCTTGCTACCTCGATCCACATCGTGTTCTTTAGTTACCTCATGAGCTGAGCTGGCTGATGATACCCGAGATTTGAGCCCATGCATTTGCTTCTCGAGTCTTTGCTTATCCTGATGTAGCGTCCTGACATGTGCATGACTTTCCCTTAGTTGCTCCTTCACACTGGCCATCTCCTGGTTAAGATCCAATATCTGGCGACTGTACTCTTGTGATTGCGACAGTGCAGCAGCAAGCTGATCCTTGGCGTGGTTCAGCTCATCCCGCAGCTGCGTCTTCGATATCAGCATAGACGACCGTCGCTTGTCATCCTCCACTTGGAACCGCTGTTCGACAACATTGAGCAAATTTTCCAGGTCTTCGGTGGTGGACGGCGCTTCTTTCCGAGCTTCGTCATCGCTGGCTGGGACACTGGCTTCAGGACTCGGTGTCTTGGACTCATCACCCTCTGTCTTTGAGTTGTCCTCCTCATCGGATGAGACCGATGGTTGTGGGCTGCTCGGCCTGGACGAAACAGAGTCGGCCTTCTGTCTCAATCCATTTAAAAGTGACTGGACCGCCTTACGGTCTTCTTGTCGCTCTTCGCGTTCCCGTTGTAGCTGGTTCGACAATAAAGCATGGTTGCGCTGTAGCTCACTGAGAGCGGTCAAGAGGTCTTCGATCTGACTATGCAAGTTTCGTTCGTCTGTGTTTTTATGGGCTGTTATTGTCTTATTGCCGACTGGTGTAGATTCCCGGCCATCCTCGGTGTTGGAAGAGTCTCTCGACATCGTGGTTACGTCAGTTGATGATGAACTTGTAACACTAGCTGAGCTGGCCTCCATTGAGTTCAATGTTGATGCAAGACTTTGCTTGGATGCGCTTCGTCGCAGCATACTCGTCGGTCTTGCAGGTGCGGTGTTTCCTGGGCTAAGGTTGGAAGATTTGTTGTTGGTAGAGGTAGCCCATATGCGACCTAGGAAGCGGCTAGCTGCAGTAGTAATATCAGATCCTCTGACAGGGTTGGTGATGGCCGTCTTGGACTCCCGGTAACTTTGCTCGAGCTGCTGCATGTTTTCGGCGGTAACAGCACCTGTCAAACCGACAAAGTCCTGAACGAATTCATCGGCGTTGTAATGGTAGCAATCCCAAAGACCCCGAGATAAAAGAAGCTGCATCACATCCTCCATTTCGGTGCAAGCCAATAGTCGCGCCTCGTTCTTCCGCATTAAGGATAGTGCGACTCTCATCAATGTCTCTGAAGCGCCCTCTGCAAAGATCACATCGTAAGTGCGAAACAGCATCGGCAAGGGACAAGTCACGGCAAAGAAGCTGAGAAACCATTGAGAAACATAAGCAGGGTCAACCTGTAGCTCGTCAAGATGATTCGACAAGACTGGGAGGCTTTGGCGTAGTAGCTCCTTGAATTGGTAGATGCGTACGTGGAGACCGGAGAGATCAGGGAGGAAACACGCCCTTAAGTCGTATTGCTCCATGAGGCTGAAATTGTTTGTCAGTCAATGTCACTGTGGCCAAGGTGAGGGAGGGAAATTGGCTGTGGCTTACCGAACCAAAACACAAAACGCCTGTTTGTCGGGCATGTGCATCAGCAATGGGCCAACCAGAAAGGCCAGCCCCTGACAATAGCCAATCTTGGTGTCGTAGAGACTGAAGCACTTGAGGACGCGGCCAAGCATACGTTGTCCATCACCCTCTGGGTCGCGGAACATGTCTACACCTGGGAAACTTCGGCCCAAGTCTTTGCCAATTATGACTTCGTATGGACTGGACTCGCCGCAGAAGCGGTCAAACTGTTCTTCCAATATAGCATCCCGAGCTCCAGACATGCTCTGCCAAACCACTCCACGCAACGGTGGTGGTATACCTTTACGAATCTTATTTGAGAGAAGAGTCGGAAGTCGGGCAGCTGTTTGTTTGTAATCCTTAACGAGAGCGGCATAGAATTCAAGGTCCGTCATGGGAGGTGGTGGTAGCATCGAATATCGTAGAGCAGCGGGCGTTGGTCCCTGGACCATCTGGCGAAGCTGTGCCATCGAAGGCGGTCGAGGTCTGCTGACTGCACTACGTTCAGCAGTAGCACGGTCGACGCCTTGGACTTTGACGCTTTTGGGGTTCGTAGCCAGCTTTGCATTTTCCTGTTCAAGGCGGGCCAACAACAATGCAGTTGACTACACAAATTAGCTCTCAAGTCCTGACAATCGAAAGTGCCTGAACTCACGTTATCTGTTTCTTCATCCTTGGTCTGTTCATCTTCCTTTTGCTCAAGTTGTGCCCAGTTTACTTCGTCTTGGTCGTCTGATAGATGGCCATCATCAGCCAACTCGTCTTGCAGTGACCGTGTTGTTAAAATCGGTGGTTGCATAGTCGCTGAAGAAGAACGAAGAGCTTCTGTATCGATCACGTCTTCCTTAATCAAAGTTTTCGATTCGTCGTCCAGGCTATCGTCCTTGTCGACCTTATCGTCCTTGTCATCCACCAACAGGCTAGACTTGCGAGATATGGGAGTATCAGGACGGTCATCGGCTGGATCCTTGGTTGGAGTTGTTTGATTTGTATCGATGGTCGAAGTGGCTATGGGAGAATCAAGGACTATAGGATCCGGTTCCGAGAGGCGAACCGTAACCAAAGAATCGTGAGCCATCTTTGGGGTCTCAGGAGCTGGGTCTCGTGCCATCATGGATGCTCGTTCGGTAGGCGCGGCCAAAGGGAGAGGCTCATGTAGGCTCTCTCTAACTTGGGCGTCCATACCGGCCCGTCAGTTTGGTGGAGAACTGTGCAAGAGTCTCTGAGACTGGAACGAAAGACACAATCTAGCACCAGCAGGCAGGCAGGAATCCCCTGTGACAACAGATAGAATTAGGCGTTTTGTCGCGTGTTGGTTATGGTTTGTGTATATCCAGAGAAAGCTGGACGATGACAACAGGTCGAAAATCAGGCTTAGAGGTCGAAGGAAGGACCAGCCTGTCGAAGAAGACGCCTCAAGTACGGTTAAGTTGGCTCATCGAGAGGTGGTCCCAGAGGCTGAAACGGAGCTCCTGGGGCGATGTCGATTTCCGAGTTGGAATCCAACCCAAACTCTAAGGATAAGCTAATTATTTAGAGGGCCAAAGGACGGAGGAGTGGCGATGGAGCAGCGGACAAAGCAGTTACGGTAAACACAAAAAAGAGCGTCTCAACAATCGTGCGAGGCTGGCGGTGGAGTTTCAACAAGGTTGGGTTTGGTTTGGGTCAGGTTGTCTGATTTGGATATTCACCTTCTCCTGGTGAGAAGTTGAAGCCGGCCAGGGGTAGCCCGCCCATAGGTAATCTGGACCCTGGCAGCTACAGCATGCAGTAGCGCAGTAGCGCAGGCTGCCCTGGGAGTTGAGAGGTGCCCTGAACTGAAGGCGGGTGCGTTGACAAGGAATCGCCAACCAGTGACAGTTCTTGTTCTAGACCCGCTCATTTTACCCACTCACCAATGTCATGGACAGTTCCAGCGTCCAACAGCCTTTGACCTTTGTTGACGATCTGCTCCAGGGCCGGCATTGAAGCGTCTCTCACGGTCTCTCCTCACTGGGCGCCGGAGGTGACGGCCGTCCGGGGGAAACCAAGTGGAGGACCAAAGACCGGGGCTGGCTAGGTGACCGCCACGGAAGCATGAATGGGCCCGTTCTTAATCTCAAAGGAGACGAGTAACTACGCGCTTGCAACACAATGGATGTCTCTGACGATACGCCTGTCTTTGAACTGTCTCTAGCCATCTAGAACATCAAGTCATTGTGCGTCAACTGTTGTTTACCTGCAAAATCATCGACGTTTAAGCCATTTTGTTGTCAAGGGGATAACATCCCTTAAATGCTTGTCAAGGGCAAATATGACTCCAGTCACATACGTGACGTGACATTCATGGTCAACGTGTGGTTGCATCCAAACAATAAGGTCCCCTCAGTGGTCAATGGTCGTTCATGCAGGTCCGTACAATAGAAAACAGTCCTCAGAGGCGTCGGCTGTGGCTTATTCGCATGCACGCTTCCGGGTTCCTTGCATCTATCTTTGAGACCCTGATCAATTCAGCAGCCAAATAATCTCCATTGGTTCTAGTAGATTAGATCATCGTTCCTCATCTGTCATGATCAAAGTTTGTGGTTCTTTTAACTTTAACCGATCTCGTTCGCTAGGGACAGGCCGCTCTATTGCCAGGAATGAGTCGAGGCATAGTCGCGGCCATTCTGGAGCTTGTCTCCGAATTTCATCCACTTATCATGTTGCATCAAGATCCAAGCTTTACAAACATTGCTGTGTCAAACGCCTCTTACCATCATAAACAGCCCAACCTCCAGATGCTAACGATCTTCAGCATCTTTGCCCGTGGTTATGTTAGCATTTTGTCAAGTGAATTACCTATTCGGGATCAATATGCCGTCTCCACGATGCGTATCCGAAGCTATTCAGCAACAAGCTCTGTATTCACATATTCTTCATGCTGTCATTACGTCGATGATATACTTCTTTATCTAACAGGTATACTCCGCCATTCCTTTTATCGTATTCTGACCATTGCTGTGCTAGGAGCTCCCACAATGGGGATATAAAAGACTCCCGAGCGCTCCATCGTCATCCATCTGTCCATCTACCCACGGCAGTACCCGTCGAGCTCCATTTGACATAATTGCAGAAGTTTTTATCGTAGTGACGCTCTCATATGATCTCCCCATAACATTCATCACAATCCCAACTCCTTTCAAGATCCATGACAGAGATTGATATACGACATCAGAGCCCGTACGCTCCCATATCATCAGTCCGCATAATGGGATCCAACAGTAGCTGGTCAATGCCCATATCGATATTAACAACGGTAGACTGCCGAAGAGCATTGAAGGTAAGTCGGTGATGATCTCAAGCGACGGACTTTGACGAATCGGCTTGATGGCGGATTGGTCCCGAAGGTAGCGTATCAGTGGCTTTCGAGCCGGTCGAAAGATGGAATGTGAAAAGAGATAACAGACCAAATACTCCAATGGTTCTTCTTCCGCTGGGCGATCGTCTTCAATAGTGCTGCCTTGTTCACATATATCATGTTTGTAAGCTGGTTGAAGATCTGCTGTTGCAGGTGACTTGGTACACGTGGACGTTTCTAGTCCTTGTAAGGTAGATGCGGTGCTCATTTTTGCTAATGTGCGTATTTGTGAAGGTAAATTGGCCGAGGGTGCAGATTATTTGTCATAACTGAAAGATAAGATGGTGAACATGATGAGCCTCGCGATCTATGATGGGGACATGAACAACAGGCATGCTCATATCAAAGGCCTAAGAAACGGGGAAGAACAGCATTCTATAAGAGAACAGTATTCAACTACATGAACCAACGAACATGATGGTTTCTATGGCCACGAAAACGTGAATATTTGACATGGCCCCAAAACATCAACAATAACTGGTTCAATACCGATTGCGTAATGTCTCAAGTATTCCTACTATTATCATGGATCACCTTTGCAGTTAGTCCTTGCCGATGTCTCAAGTTAGAATAATCCATCTAACCCCAGATTTTAACGTCACACCTATATACCGTAGTTTTTGTAAGTCATGTTTCATAGGTTTCCTTGAAAATGGAGTTACTTCAGTTTGCATACGGAGGGGTACGTTATATCCGAATAATAATGGTGATAGACGTTTATGTCGGCATGATGTATCTAAGCTTCAGAAGGAGCCGCATGCAACACTTTTACCTTGCCTATGATTGACCGAAATCAGCGTTGTAATCGATAGACGTTTGATAAGCGGTTCGTTACGTACAGCAAGAGTCCTGAAACGAAGCGGCCTACTTTGCGATTTTCTTTGGGGCGCATCAACGGTTGTAACAAAGGGATTACCGTTCATTAGATCCCCCAAAAAGGTAATATATATCAACCCTGAAGCACAACAAGCTATATCCTGTCTAGGCATTGTTAGTATTGCTGTTCGGGAATGCTCGAAAACAGTACAGATACGAGTGCTCGAGAGATGTCATATGGGAACCTCGTTGGTGCCTGTGAGTCTTTCAGCTCCTGTTGTGTTGCCCACTGCCCAAAGACAGTGAAGGATTGTTTGCGGTCCTACGTATATGACATATTTATCCGAAGGGGGCTGTTTCATCTCGTAGCACCATATCCAATATCCCGTTGTCCGCAAAGAGCAAAACCTATGTAAGTGGTAAGACAATCAATCAACCACACAACGCCCGTTCTCGGCAGACTCATTGAAAACCGTTGCGGCTCAACTGAACGTTCACTTTAAAAGTTCAAGCGGCAAACATTGTGGGGATGACAGCTTAGAATTACTTCCCTCCCGGTATTTTTATTAAGAAGCTTATTTCGTCGTAACTACTGCGTTTTCAAAGACCAGTAATACAAAATCTCCGGGAAACCAACCTCAGTTGTTTGGTGGAATGCATTCATTGTTTACAGCAGCGGTGTGGCTTGCATACGAGACCATGTTCCAGACTGCATTGCCAATGTGGTCGAAACACCCATAGCCGAATTAGGAAGATATGATCGATCAGGTGAGGATATAAGGGATTCAATTTCTCGTACGAAAATCATCCCCGCACACATCCGGTGCAGCGGTGAAGCAATGGACGTGGGGGAATCTACTACATTCACTTGTGGCCGCATCCATACAACCCTGCAATGTTACAATCTGCATTACGTCTGCTCACAACGCGTGGGCTGACCTATCAAGATGACCTTGATGCTCAGGTTAAGCAGTGATTGTCTGTTGGAACGATGAGCTCACACATACATACATAACGCTCAAGCATGAAGCTGGTGTGGTTCTGCAGGTCAAATGGAGCGGAAGAGCATCCGTGTTGCAAAGAAGTTGATGACCCGGCAGCAAGCATGAGCATGGGGACATTCGGACGAGATCTGCGGCACATGTCGAGGTACTACGTACTTTGGCTTGGTGCTCAGGTAGTGGGATCGCGATAGCGAAACGAAGCTATCGCGAGGGGTAATTGGGTGGTCTACTCTTCGCCCCGGATCGTCTGTGCTCGCTATTATCATGGCCCAGAGCGATCTAACTAGATCTGTAATCTCATCGAGATGACAATGCTTCAAAAGCTCAGGCCGATTTGCAGGTCCAATCTGGAAATGCCGTTGGTTTGCTTGTCAGACACACAAATTCAGTGCAGATAAGATACAAACATTGTCACGGTGCATACTGGTTCATGACCGAGCGATTCAAAATCGAATGTCTAGTTGCTGATCATGGGATCGGTCTTGATTTTCTGTTGCAGAGGGAGTGGACCAGGGCGCAGGTGAGACGTCTGGTCGGGTCTCCAGGGCTGTTCACTTGCGAATGAGTGTGGATCAACAAAAAAACAAGGAGTCAAGCAAGGATATTGCTTATTGCGACGACATGAACAACAAGACGAGGAATGGAACTCGCCTTCACGGTTGAACTTGTTATGGGAACAAATCAGTGAATGAATAGAAGCATGGCATATTCATTGTTAACCAGCCTCTTATCAGCTGGTGGTATTCACATCCGTTATTCCAACGAACATCTCCAAGTCCGCACCCACCCTGTAACTCTGGTCTGCCAAACTGCAAGTCAGAGCAGAACATGACAAGCCATCTACTGTCCTGCAGATGCAGGAATTGTTAGTTTAACAGGGTCATGGCTAATTTGATGATCCACCTCTAATCACATTAGTCTGTCGTTCCATTGTTTGTATGCATCGAGTATCTATTGCACAACAATAGTGATATCCATACAACCTCATCGCTTGAAGAGCAACGGATGTGAACACACGTTTGCTTCAGTCTCCCAGTATCCAACATCTTTGCCAAAAGAAGCCTCTCCTTTGTGAAAATCTTTCGGCCACTACGAAAGCTTCAACTCTCACATGGTCTTCAAGTCCCACAAGCCATTAAATTTCCTTGGTTTTCATCCTCTCATAGTGCATGTAAGTCAACAGTTCGGTGGACCCTAGACATCCCTCCAAATAGAACCTTGTCCACTAGCGTTACACCCTCACGATCCTGGAGCTGCTAAAATCTAGTCTGTCCAGGGGCCTTCTCTCAAGTATCTATTAGCAGCGGAGTAAGCGAATAGGTACGTGATCCTCGCCTGCTTTAGCGTCGTCTGCTTCCCAAGGTTCAGTAGCGACAGCGCCCCGAGCCTTGAAGGTTGTCGTTGGACCCCAGCTACGTATGGTAGGGGACATCTCGCTCCTACACCCTCTTCTTCCTACCAAGATTGCAAAATTCGACTCCGGCAACGGGCTCTGTTGTTGGATTACCATATCTAGTCTCCCCCACACTCTTTGCTGAGATCTTCTCTCACTACGTTCGTTCTTCAAACACCAAGCTCTGAACTTCGCGTTACTTCCCCTCCATGGCGCGTTGAGACAACTCAAGCAAGGCGGAAAGCTTGCTCCCAAAAGATCAAAAACACCAACAAATGTTCTCCTCCCTACTGCGACACCCCAGGGCTGGTCCCCGTCGAATCGATCGCCGCCGAAACACAAGTTTCTCTCCTTCTCCCGGTCCTGCTCGGCGGCGTTATACTCTTGAACGACACGCAACGGCTGATTTTACAGAAGCCGACGACGACGATGGTGATGATACTCATGACGAGGGGTTGAGCCGGTTTCGGAGTAATGACCGCCGTACGAATAATGATGGAGATGAAGAGGACGATGAAGATGACGAAGGAGAGGAAGAAGACAGGCCTGGCGAAGACGGACGACGCGGCGGCCTTCCTGTTCTTCCTCTGTTCTCGGCATCTCATTTAGGTACGTTCAAGATATTGGAATCCAAAGATGTCAAGTTGTTGCTCTGGGCCATTCTAACCTTAATTACAGATTCTTTGCCAGTATACAGCATAACACACGCCATCCGAATTATCGTATCGACACGCACCGAAACGACTCTATCATGGGATCAACTTCGATCACCTCAGGTTTCTCAATTCCTTGTCAAGCCTATGCAACAACAGATTCGTGCCCAGCATTTCAGCCGCGCAACTCTATATGCTCTCATGATCAACTGTCTTCAATTCAGCAAAGAGGGTGAACGCTACCCGGGCAATGCAGGAATTAGTAGCACTCGTGCCAAGGTTTGCGAATTGCTGACTCTCAAGCTACTTAAAGAGTACAATGTCCGCGAGTTGATCGATGCCCTTGCCTATGACTTTTACCCACTTCAAGGCCTCCCCGGATCTCAGGCACCTACATCTCCCCGAAAATCACCACCGGCCAACAAGTCGCCCTTGATTGCGTCCCGAACGTCAACTCTCGAGGTCGCCATTCGAGCCTCAGCCAAGCACTTACTTGCGCACCCCCTTGTCGTCCAACAGCTTGAAGCTATCTGGAGCGGTGCGATTACTTTCCACTCGTCTGCTGATAGCTTACATCGAGAAGCTCCACCAACCGCAGGCCTTAACTCGAATGGGTATATTGGGAAAGCGAACGATAGAACTCCCCTGCTTGGTGCAATTGCTCAGAAAGAAACGCATTTCACCCCACCAGGGCGTCGTACGGCGTCGCTCTACGATCCTCGGCAAGCGTCTCTCCTCAAACTCTCTCGCCTTCGGGTTCCTCGATACAGATCTTTTCTTTCGACAATATCTCTCGCTGTTCTGATCGGATTGTTTCTTGCTGTTCTCGCCGAACGTTCGGTTCAAATCACAGGTCTGGAACTGATTTTTTGGTTCTGGAGTGCTGGCTTCATGCTTGACGAGCTCGTTGGATTCAACGAGCAGGGGTTCGCGCTGTACATCTTGAACGTGTGGAATGTTTTTGACCTTGGAATATTGCTGTTGCTCATTGTATACTACTGCATGCGAGCGTATGGCGTTTTCCTGGCCGACTCTCACCACATCTACGACAATGCTTATGATATACTGGCGGCCAATGCAATTCTGCTCCTCCCGCGTATTTTCAGCATCTTGGATCACTACCAATACTTCTCGCAGCTTCTTATTGCATTTCGTCTTATGGCTGTGGACTTGGTGGCCGTTTTCACGTTGATATTGGTACTCTGTAGCGGGTTCTTCGTGTTTTTCTCTTTGACGAAGAACTCGTTCGGTGCGAGTGATGTTGCCTACAAGATCTTCCAGATCCTGATGGGATTCACTCCTGCAGCATGGGAAGTGTAAGCATTCTTGGAAATATGAGACGAGCTGAGGCTAATGGTATATAGATGGGATGCGTACAATTGGTTAGGACGAGCTTTGTTGGTTCTCTTCCTGAGTATTTGTCATTTCCTTGTTGTGTAAGTTCTCACGACTCGACTACTTTTCCGTTGCTGAACAGTCCAGGACAATCCTCATTACCGTTCTCACGAATTCTTTCATGGCTATTGCGTCCAATGCCAATGAAGAGCACCAGTAAGTGCCTCTATCTGCATACGGAATTTTCTCTAATCTCGTTTAAGGTATTTGTTCGCCATCAACACCATATCTATGGTGAAGAATGACGCATTGTTCTCGTATATTGCTCCCAGCAATATTTTCGCATGGCTTCTTATGCCTCTACGATATTGCATGCCGTTGAGAACCTTCGTGTGGCTGAACAGGACTGTCATCAAAGTCACACATTTTCCCGTACTGTTCTGCATCTACCTATACGAGAGATACTGGCTTGCCCCGTCTATGTACGAGCCAACTGACTTGGTGGAACACCCAATTCGTGAGCGAAGTCGACACATCTCTTTCATGGATCCTGTAAGCAGAGCAGCCATTTTTAGTCCAAGCATTAGGGTTCGCGAAGAATCCGTGGCTGGCTTTCAAAAGGACCGGGCCCTCGAGGAGGTGTTCCGGCGCTTACCTGATCCTTTAACATTGAGGACGCAAAGACGTCAAGAGAGGCGGAAGACGCAGACAGCGATTCGTAACTGGATGGATCAACACGACGATAACGATGCATCGCCAGGGAACTGGCAAACGCCTGATGGTGCTATGCCTCCTTGGCAACGAAGATCCAGCGTCGGTCTTGCTCGTACTACTAATCTTAGGCGTGTTTCGGACGTTAGATCGACAGCGAGTGATCCTGCTGATAGGATCTCTAACGTGGGAAACCCCCTCCGACCGTCACATTTCTCCAGGACTCGTCTGACTGGGGATTTATCCGAATACAAAGACCAGACTGATGCTGATGGAGATGACGAATTGGTGACAAATGATGAGGATGAGGATGATCATGTTACCAATGCTGGACAGAGTCAAGCCGCTAGAAGCCATGCAATTCACGAGGAGGCGGAAAGCTACTTTGCACCGAATGCCAATAACTTCGGGAAGCTGGCATCCTCTGTGAGTTCTTCTGGAAAGAGGAGTTCTTCTGGCAAGAATGTGTCTCAGACACCCCGACCCAAACGAGGTGCACACAACCGAACACTTTCTACAAACACGATACTCTTCAACCCTCAGGATGTCAAGCAAATGCAGAGGGCGTCATCGATATCGCCACCTCTGCCTGGCCAGTCACGTCCACGAACTAGTGGGCGTATAACCACTGGTGAAAAGACACCAAGACGCAGTTCACCTCGCCGCTCTATGTACGTCGCCAACACGAAACCTCGACCAGTGATGCCACCACGAGGTATGACTGAGGCTGGTGCTGTCAGTCGATCAGCCCTTCTCAGCATTGAGCCACGAAATCGTCCTAAGGACATTAGAAGGTTGTCCTCGGTTGACCTGAGTGCGATGTCTGATCAAGTTGTGGGAGACCATATTGGTGCGATGCCTGGCAGTTTCCAGACACAACTTGCAACTTTCATGAAGGATAATCGGTTGCGTGCAGGCGGTGGTAACGACTCCGGCGACCGCGACAGAATGGGAAGGCTGGTGTTGGCTAGAATGAAGACACTGGAGGAGAGCTTTGCGGATGTGATCAAGGAGATGCGGGATCTGAAGAATTCTTCAACGGTCCCTACAACGCGGCGTAACTCGGGAGATGAGGCAATCATGGCGCCAATGATCGAGGTGGCTGGACGAGACCGCTTAAGGAAGTACCATATCGACAACAGTCAACGCAAAGTAGCGTCTAAGCGACCCGTCAGCCGAAGAAGCCTTAAGGAGGAGAAACCTGGCATGTGGGATTACAAGGGCAAGGGCAAGGAGGTAGTATACGAGTCCGACGATGAGGCAGAGACTGATGACAGTCTGTTCAAGAAGGGGGGCTCATTGTAAAGCATGGGTGGCGTTAAGGCACAGCTTCTTGGTTCGGTACGGTAATGAATGCATAAGATAGGAGTACTCTGTAATGAGGTGGAAATTAGACGGTAACTTGACCGCTGTATCAATATAATGCATTTTGTGCTCGAATGAATGGTCGATAATGCTGTTGTTATTCAAATACCTATGATATGTCTGGAATTACTGGGCCGACTTCTCGAAGAAATCACCCGCTAAAGAGAAATAACGAGGATAAAGGAATCTCATGCAAGATAATGTGAAATCCTGACAAAAGGATTTTGAAACTTATCTCGATACCAAGGTCTGGTAGCTGGCGCGTTCAATATGTCGTCTAAGTTCTTGCCAAGATAAATTGCCCGGGGACGTTAGGAAGTCTTGCGGGGAAGCTTGTCACTGATCAAATAAAGTGGGCTACTCAAATAAACTTTCTTCTTCAACAAGGCAATAAAGTTAAGATACTCAACATAGGTAGGTTAGCAGTTAACTGGGGTGACCATGCACTCATCTATTTAGGAGTCTGGTAGAACGCTTCCAATAGTGCTACCCTAAAGTTGAGATTGGAACAGGAAAAGCACTAATACCGGAGGTTTTTCCTGCTAGCGTTCGCACTGGTGCCCGTTTTGATATCCAATAGCTAATTTGTTATTATTATCGTTTTCGTTTGTTTATCGCCACTTATGAGTAGATCAGGCAAGGCTCGAATGGTCATAAGTGCATAAATCCTGGCCAGGTGGGCCAAGCCACATTGGTGTTGGTGCTTGTATCCTCATCAGGTTTCTTTACTTATCCTGCATATGATGAAGGAGTAGCTGTTGAGTCAATACCTGGCCCGCGTGATGCTTGTCTAACAATACCGTTTGAGTAGTGTTTTATTGACTCACAAACTGAAGAGTCTTTAGCCCGTCCTAACGCTTTGAAGGTCTCCAGTTTTAGTGTCACCCAGAGTACTGTAAATGTAAGTAAAGGAGGCTGAGCTGCCACACCTAATGCATTGGATTGCATGGCAGCCTCAAGGCAACCAACCCTCCATCAAACATTCATACTCAGGCATCAGCTCTTGGTTATGGAGGGGTAGAAAATGGAAGTATTTAATTGGCATACACGGGCATGTGCAGGTACTTTCGTAGGGCTGGATTGAAACTTGCTACCTGCCACTTTTACCATCAGCCCGATGCTTTCCTCTCTTGCAACTCCTCATCTTACATTCATCTATTTCTTTCTTTCTATCAACAAACAAACCAGAGCATCAACATCTCTTTGAAATAATTGCATATCTATTTCTCTGCGTATGTTGTTCCTGTCTTACCCAACCTTTTCTGGCATCCATAGCCTGCGCGATCCATCCTCCCGACACAGCTTCTGGGTTGGCTGCCTGCGATTCTTGACGTCAAACCATATCTATGCCTTTTAATTTTCTATGACCGAGTCTTCCAACTGCCTCTGCTATCTCATATCAACTGCTCTAGACATTCCCCGTATCGTCCTTCCTCGACACGTCGGCGTGAGCCACGTTTGTTTAACAACAATGGATGTCCCTGATGACTGGCAGATCGGTCAAGCACATGTTGCCTGGGATGATCTGCGTAATCAAAACAGCCATCTACCTCAACATAATGCTCAAACCGCACAACAAAGTGAACCCCAACCGCAGTCTCAGTCTCAATATCAATATCAAGATCAAGATCTTGACATAGATTTCGACACGGCCTTCGAACAACTATCACCCAAACCAGCTCCTTTATCAAGCTGGACGGGTCCTTACTTCAACAAAGCAACCAATTTCTACAGTAGCCATGTGTCAAACCTTCTGCCAGAAAAGGATGTCGAACAGACTCGGCTGTTTGAACTCTATCGACTACACATGGTGTCCTTTGAACTCAATCAGGGGGACACTCTTGTTTTCATCGACTATCCTGTCCATCATAAAGGCGTTCTCGACTATACCGACTGCAATGGCATAGTCTATAAGTCACAGAAGTTCCAAGTTCACTCGAGCAAGCTGCTCGAGACTGGTTCTCCCAAATTCGCTGAACTTCTTGGCCCTACATATCAATTCAAAATCCAACGTCGTCGGAAGATGGTCAACAAACTACCCGACGGTATCAAGTATTTGCTTGATCTGACTCCACCCTCGGAAGGAGATGAATTGGTTTTCCAGATGACCGAGCTATCTTTGACTCCTGGGATCATCAAATGGTGGAGCTCACATATTCTTAATGGCGTTGATCCATTCTTAGTTTGTGGTGAGTAATTGTACCCAGCTGGTAGCACACATCTGACACGGAGAACAGGCCATGATGATATTTGCAAGTGCAACAGGCAACCGAAAGACCCAGAAAACAACGAAGGTGTGGATGCCCATGCCGAGCAAGACAGCGCAACTCCCATTGAGGGGAATGCACCCACCGGTTACAGGTTGAAACAGCTAAAGCTTGACCCAGAGCGTGCTCTACAGATGAAAGCCACGAATGAAGGGGCTTACGAGACACCTCTATATCGACATATTCCTGATTATTGTCCAATTCGTCACCGAAACGGCATCGTGAGGCTGCTCATGTTGATTGAAGGCAAAGGATGTATCCTGGATTCAGCTCCGAGACTATTCACTATTTTGAAGTTGAGTTGCCTCTTTGAATGTAGCTCCATTCTTACCGATCGTGTTACTCAATGGATAATGCACGGCCAGAACACTGCTTTCATCGAGGTCTTGCCCGAGGAAGCCTTGCAAATTGGGTCTCTGCTCAAGATTCCTCCTGTCATGGACTCTGCTTTCAGAATCCTCGTCAACGAGCTTGCTCTCAAATTGGCCGCCGATCCAACAAAACACAATTCCCACAGTCAGACGACGATATTTGGGAGGCGACTAGGCCAACTCCCCGATGAACTCAGTAATATTGTGCAACATGCAGCACAGGCGCTCATCGACAGAGTATCAGAAATCAATGCGACCTACAGAAACCCAGATCTCTTCAGTTCATGGGACATAGACGAGTGGGCCAAGCTGCAAGTAACTGAACAGCTCCTCGAACAGGAAAACACGCACCTTGGTCGAATTGCTTTGGGAAAGCTTCGTCTTCTCAAGAGTGCCCTGACCCGCGAGTTCACGCACGCATGGGAAGACGCGATAGACTCACCACCAGTGGATGGCTTTGCAACATACAACGACATAGATCGAGACCGCCTGACATACGTGGAACCCATGGATTTTGACAAGATGACTTTCATCATGATGGATTTTAATCCAATTCAGATGCTACTCTGTGCTGTGCCCTACAACGATCTCGGTGTTGAACTGGATAATCGAAGATGGAACAATAGTAGGTGTAAACTGGATGGATACATGCATAAATCATACACCGATCTAGTTCGAGAGGCAACAACTGCGCTCGACGACTTTCTTGAGTGTACGCCGAGGTTATTCAACAATCTGTTGTGGAGTCGTATTCTTGCACTCGGAGACCGCGACTTCCCAGAAATGGGCATGCGTTCCTCGTACAGGCCCATTGTATCACTAAGTGCCCTCGAAGCTGCTGTGAAAGATCGACTGCGGCCACTGACTCTTTCGTGGAGACGAGAAAATTTCGAGCCTCCTCTCAACCTGACCCGCCATTTACTCCTCACACTCACCGAAAACGAACTCAAATACCTTCCTCTTTGGTGTGGAGGTAATGATGACGGAAGCGGAGGCGTCTTTGGGGATGCAATTCCCTCAGCGGACTTGCTGGTGGCACCTAATGGCCCAGGTCCTGGTTTCCATACAGGTCACACAATTTCAACCCCTTCGAGTGTCTGTGGTTCCATCATTGACGACATGGATGCGCTACGAGTCTGGGGCAGTACGTCCGGTGCTTCGATGACTCAAGACAGACTCATCGCGTCGGAGTCGTCTTTTACCCTTGGCGAGTCTGATGTTGAGTTCACAAACGCCAGGTACGCCATGCCCGCGGACCATCAGACAATGGGCGAAGCGGTCAACATGACAGTCGAAACAACAGACTCCGAGTCAGCATCCGTTACCGAAGCCTGGAGCTCAAACATAGATGACAGTGATGATGATGCTTGCATGTGGGACTCTGATGATAGTGATAATACTATTGTCTGATGATGAGTTTTGGAACACGATAAAGGGGTAACGGCACCAGAATCTAAAAACTGAGTACTCTCATAAAAATGGGAATGCATGTCTCTGAAACAACATGAGCATATAGATTGGAAGGGATAGCTCCTACCACTGGCTTTCCATATCGAGTGAAATGGTCAACCGCTTTTATGAGTGCTCAAATATCGTGTCATTCCGTGCTTGTATTTTTCATTTCCTGCTATGCAAGTACCTAAACGCCAAACATCCACCCAATATATTCAACCCATATCAACCTCTATTAAGAGTATTTCCTGCTCCCTTTGGATTATGATCAACGAACTCATCCCACTCGCGCTGCTTGTACGTCTCACGATCTATAGCATCCATATCGTCCTCATCCACCACTTTCTTCGGCTCCACACCACCCTGGAGGATGTTTCCTTGTCTCCTCTCTTCCTCGAGATATTCATCGATGGACATGGTCGGCAAGTTGTGCCCTGAGCGAAACACATCTCGTGACATTTGATCCCGTGAACCAAGCAGTGTAAATGGCTGCAAAGGTTTGCCTTGCTTAGAAAGCAGCGGACCAGCTTGGAGAGAGTGTAGACGGCGTAGAGGCTGATCAAGTCGGGAAGAGTGATCTTCGGGAGATGGCGCATTTGTAGTTGAAGGCGCAAGTGGTCGAGGTGCCTGTGCAAGAATCTCCACCTCACGGTTTAACGAGTCCAGCGCCTGAAGCGCAGAATGCACCGCGAAAGTGATTTGCGTCAGATAAAGTTCCCGCACAAGCTCCTCATCACCGTCGTCCAAATATCGCGGATTCCGTCTCAACATTTCCAACTTCTCTTTTAGCGCTTTTTCAGCGCGATAATTCGCAATCTTGCCATCTCGTCGCGCCGCAGCATCATTACTAGCAACAACAGCAAATCTCTCAGGATCGTCACGGTATCTCTCGAGCACACGATCGTAAGGCTTTTGCACTAGGGCATAGCTGTCGACGGTGGCGAGGAAGCGCTCGTAGGCAGCGCGAGACTTGGAGAGGACTTCAAGGCGTTGGTCAGGGCTTTGATTGGGGGTCTTTTGTACGAGCTCTGCAACGTGAGCGTCGAGGAGAAGATAAGGGAGGTCTGATGTAGAAACGTCCTCAAGTCCTTCGTTGGAGGAGAAAAGGGCAAGGGCTGAGATCTGGTCGCGCGCAGAAGAGTAGAGGGATAGCGCAGCCTCGAGATCGGAGCGGTAGGCGGGGGACGTTGCCTCGAAAGCGTTGTCTAAAGCGTGGCGCTTTTCTTCAGCGGCTTCGTAGAGAGAGCGTAGCGATTGGGGTTCTTCTGAAGACATTCTAAATATGATTTGCTGTATGTGAAGTGTATTGAAGTAAATAACGAGGGGCGAATGGAGGGGATGATAAATCTGGATGAAGCCCTTGGATTCTTCGATGAGAGCCCCGCGCTAACCTCAAGCTCTTATCGATAAGCACGCTTCAGGCGACTTTTGCTGGAGCTATCTTCAACTTCATTAAGATTGGACGACGATAAAGAGTCAAGCGATATGTACAAGCTAATATGAAGAATGTGCAATGTTATTCATATGCGGATATCAATTAAAAACCACGCCCAGGTTCCCAATAGCAAATGCCCCACATCCGTTGACGCCTGGAACCCAAAACCAATTGTTAACTCAGATTCCAAACCCCTTCCCTTTTAGTATGCCGTTCGCTTGTAGTTGTACCTCACAATGCTCCCTACTCAGCAAACAAGAAATCATAGCAAAGAACCCGGGCTACAGTGGTTCTAGAACAATAGCAATCAGTATTCCATGCCTTCCATGGGCTTCAATCACAGGTCGAATAGTCTAATCCTCGTCATCATCGACCTCGAAAGGGTCGTCACTCTCATCATCTTGCTGCATAACCGATGAGTCGTCGTCAACAACGATTGGTCGTCTCGAAGCAGCAGCACGTCCTGGTCTCGCTCTTGAGGAAGCTTTAGGAGGGGGCGAGTCTGGGTCAGCCATATCCTCATCTGAATCGTCGTCGAGGACAGATTTCTTGACGGCCTTCTTGGCGGCGTACGCCTTTGCTGCTGGCGATAGAGTGGTCTGTTTAGTTGCTGGACGCGAAGCAACCTTTGATGCAGCTGTCTTGGCCGCTTTCGGAGCAGCCTTTGGCTTCGCTGGCTCTTTGCTCTTCGCGCCAGTGGGACGGCCACGACCCTTCTTGACAGTGGCAAGACCAGCCGGTGTGGGGTCTTCGGAGTCCGTGCTAGTAGGCTTAGACTTGGTCGCAGCTGATTTGGATGGAGCAACAAAAGGCTCATCATCAGAAAGGAAGCTGTCTATATGATCATCCTTGGTGGCCGTCTTGTGTGGCGACGACTTGGCGAGAAGCTCATAGTTGGTATCGTCAGGACTGTCGTCATCAAAGTCGAAAGCCTTGGCTGATTTGGGCCTTGACTTAGATAGTCCGGTCGCACTGGCGTTGCCCTGGCTAGAGTCTGGCCGGCTCATGGCATGTAGACTAAACCTGCCCCTTTCGCGGTCACCAGCTGGCTTATCGATGCCCTTGACCAAGGCGCCAACGTCGCCAAGCATCTGATCATCGTCACTCTCCGAGTCATCGTCGATGATTGTCTTGACCTTGGACGCAGCAGCTCGTTTGACCCGTGGATTCTCCGGTGCCTCAGTTGGAGGTGACTGGGATGTCTTGATGGCAGGCGCCGATGATTTGCTGCGGCTGAGAGCAGCGTAGTCATCGTCAGAAAGATCCGACAGCTCCATAACATCAGCACTGGGTTCCTTCTTGACCTTCGGCTTGGAGCTGAACATCTCAGCAAACCGTTGAGCACTCTTGGTCTCTACCTTGGGTGCTGTCTTAACGGTCGCCTTTAACGCTGCAGCCTTTGGCCTCCCGCGGCCTTTCTTGTCAGGCTCATACTCGTCATCATCCTTGGCTTTGCGGCCACGAGCGGTGCCAGCACCTATCTTTTTAGAAACGCGGCGGCCCAAGCGGCGGATGCTCGTCTTGATCTCAGCATCAACTGCAAGCTGAGTCTCCCATTCGGCTATGAAGTCATCCAGGTCGCGACACCAGAGATCCTTCTCACTGAGGGCAAGGAGTTCATCGTGCTCCGCCTTCTTCTTCTCGATAGCTTGCTTGAGCTTCTCGAGACGCTCAGCTGTCAAGGACCAGATGGGCATCTGCCATACGTTAGTTCACTGAACGTATTCACATACGGTAAGTACTCACCGAGAGGAGGTAGTCGTAGTCGCGAGCACCACCTTCCGAATCACCCTCCACGTCCTGGTTCTCATCGGCATCTTCATCTTCTTCATCTGCGGTCTTCTTCTTCTCACCACCAGGGGGGAAAGCCTCGTAATCACAATCTCGAAGTTCTTGCACCAGCACGGCCTTCTTCTTCTTGCCAACCACAAGCTGTCCATCGATGATTTCCTTGATGAATCGGGCTTGGTTCTTGAGCTTGCGATAGTCTGCATGGAATACTCCTAACCAATGTTTCTGCGAGAGTTAGCTGGGTCATCTAAACTTCGGATCAGAACTTACCTTTCGGTCAGTGTACATGTCGAGGCGGTATAGATAGAACTCCTCAAGGATATCCTCCACCTTCTCGTACTTTCGAATCATGCCTCTGGTGTCGAAAGCAACCAAATTGGAGGTGGCGACCTGCTTGGTCAGCTTGAAGCGCTCGAGGACGCCTTCTTCAAGGACCTTGCCCATATGCTTATCATCCACAGCGATCTCAAAGTGAACAGTGCTGTGATCATTGAATTCCTTGTAATCCTTGATCCAAGCTGGGCCGTCAACACCGGCGATAATCTTCTCCAGTCTGCCCTTGAAGTCGTCGGTCCACACACGAATGGGCAATTCGGTGATGACAACTTCGTTATCCTTCTGCTCGTTTGGATAGGCAATACCATTGAACTTGTACCGGTCTGCGCCAGCAGCCTCGGGTGTACCCTTCCAGCCACGGAACCAGGGCATCATGGTTTCGAAGGGCTTTTCCTCAAGATCATTGTCATCCAAGCGACCCATTCGACGCTTCAGGTTTTTGACAATATCCATCGGGTGATAGTTGGGAATGGAAGTGCTCCAACCTGTACCAATGCCATCGGCACCATTAACCAGAACCATGGGGATGATTGGAGCATACACCATTGGTTCAATTTTCTTGCCATCTTCATAATGATGCATCAAGTTTGGCTCATCCATAGGGTGAAAGATCTTGCGGGCGAACGGAGACAGACGAGTGAAGGTGTAACGAGGACTGGCAGCATCAGATCCACCGGCAAGTCGAGAACCGAAGTTTCCACTGGGTTCTAGACAGTTGATGTTGTTTGAACCGACGAAATTCTGGGCTAGGCCAATGATAGTCTGCTGGAGAGACTGTTCACCGTGATGGTAGGCAGTCTGTTCGGAGACATAACCAGCCAATTCAACGACCTTCTTGTCTTTGACCAAGTTTCTCTTGAAGCAGGCATATATGACCTTACGCTGACCAGGCTTGAAGCCATCCAGTACGGACGGGATGGATCGCATGTTATCAGCCATACTGAAGAGAATAAGTTCTCTGTTGATAAAGTCAGAATATGTGATTGACTTGGTTGAGTGATCGAGATATGTGCCCGGCACGAAGTTACCAAGCCACTCCTTTCTGGCATCTGCTTTCTTCTTGGAGAAAGCCAGCTCTAGTAGGTCAGCTTCCTCAGGCTTCATGGTGTCAAATTCCTTCAAGTGGTCATCGAGGTTGGTAAAATAGACTTGTGCGTCTTCGTTGGAGCTTGTTCCCAGACCCTTGAAGTATTTAGAGTGCCATCGCGTGAGTTCGGTTTTGTGATCTTCCTTCCACTCTTCATATTCAGGTTGTGTGAAGAAAGACTTTAATCGCTGGGGCTTCTTGGGGTTGGGACCCTGCCAAACCTTGACGATAGGTGTGATGAACTCTCGGAAGAAGTCAGGGATTTTGAGAAGTGATGGAAATTGAACCTGAAGGAAGTTGATGAGAAGT